ACGAAAACAATAGACTCCAGATTTTCAATCTGGAGTCTAATAATAAACCACAAATAACCTATATGAAGAGAAATTTGCTACTTTTCAAAACCACTTTTACACCACGCTCATCCAGTAATAGATTTGACCTTCAATGATATTCTCAAGGTCAAAAAAATATTTGACCTTAAATGACCTTATTAAGGTCAAAAAGGTGCTTTTTCAACTTGACCAAAATTGACCAATTTCTTTTCAAAATTAACTTCTCAAAAGTTCAAATCTGACTTTATATTTGAGATTTCACCTTCAATAACCTCAGAGTCAATAAGGTCTTTTTTCAACTTGCTTCATATTGATCAATTTTTTTCAAAATCATATACAAGTTCTCAGAAATTCAAATCTGACTTAGATTGAACTAATAATATTGTTAGCAACTTGGTGGTGACATTTTGACATGTTAATGCCTTGTTTTACATTTTAACCCTGGCGAGCCCTAAGGTAAAAAAAAGTTACACGAACACCTAAGGGGGGTCAAAAGGGCACCCCCTTGTAAACTTTTTATTAGTGGAGCTAGGAAGTTCAAACTTTCCCAAAATATACTTCATTCAACTACAACTTGGTGTAATAACTTTAACAACTATGATGATGTAAGATTGCGTAATTTCATTCTAAAGACAAGACGTATGATAGAATTGGTGCGAGCTTTTTTCCGCTTTTGTCTATTGAAGATGATGATTACAGCATAATGAATTTTTAACAAACTAGTAAAGCTAGGAAGTTCAAACTTTCCCAAAATATACTTCATTCAACTACAACTTGGTGTAATAACTTTAACAACTATGATGATGTAAGATTGCGTAATTTCATTCTAAAGACAAGACGTATGATAGAATTGGTGCGAGCTTTTTTCCGCTTTTGTCTATTGAAGATGATGATTACAGCATAATGAATTTTTAACAAACTAGTAAAGCTAGGATGTACAAACTTTCCCAAAATATACTTAATTTAATTATCTACAACTTTGTGTAATAACTTCAACAACTTTAATGATGTAAAATTGCATAATTTTACTCTAAAGATAACACGTGTGGTAGAAATAGAGCTAGCTTTTTCCGATTTTTGATATTGGAGCTGATGATAACATCATAATAAATCAACTACCCTGTGTGTCAATTTTGCTGATGTTTTCAGAAAACATGTGTTATATCTGTAGCTCCAGCTACTGAAAATCCTACTAGATGCCAATAAAAAGTTATGGGGAAAAAACTTAACAGGGGGGGGTCATATAGACCCCTCCCCCCCCTAAGGGCTTCTAGGGTTAAACAGCAATGCTTTCAACTTATGCAGGATGTCCCATAAGTAATAAGATAATTATGCTCGAAAATGTTTATTTGATCGATAAGAAAAGATCACGAAATTTACACATAGGCTGATATCGAAAACTTTGTCCGCTGTGACGGAGCGTGCTATTTTGCATAGAAACACTAAGAAATCCACAAAAATTTTTTACTCATATGTTTCGCTACACCAAAGAAAATGTCTTACTCCATGCAATGGGTATATCATTTGTGGGTAACTTTAACTTTTGTTCGAAGTCCAACAATGCTAAAAGTAAAAGCTATTGAAAACGGCGCCGGGGTATCATACTCCAAAATGTACCATTTCTTTTATTTCTTTTAATGGTACAATATAGTGACATGATAATATTTACATATGTTTTCAGCATAACTCTGAAGGTATTGATCATATCTTGATGTATTGGATATTTTTAATATTTTTTATAAAAAATAATGTTTACATTTTTTGTCAGCTGTGACGGAGCAGTTTTAACTGTGAACTACGTTAAGAATTTAAGATTCGAATTATATCTTCTAAAAGTACCCTTAGAGGAGAGAACGTCACAAATCACTTTCCCAAATTATGACAAGTAGCCTGTGGGAGATCTGGTGTAATGTAAATTTGAGATATAGAAACGACCACTCTTTTAGCATTTTCCTAGGTTTGTAATGATGAATCAACATGGTGTAAACTCAACATAATATTTCTAATACGTTTTCGCCAAGACGCCTTGGAATGTCACGTGTAGTGTAAATAGGGCTAATATGAATTTATTCGAAATAGCGCACAGACATCCTGCATTCCGACAGATGTTTTTAATTGTAGAATATATTTTTCATATCAATTACTTGTGTCTTGATATAACACGGTATGTATCATGTTAGAAGCATTGTTGAAGAGTCTCCTGAAAAACAGATGTACCATTTCTAGCTGGTATTTCTGTAAATGACATGAGATCGGGACATAGTATGACTATGATTGACTACTTAATTAGTTTGAAAATTAATGATACAGTGAACTATGAACCTGTTCCGCAAAAGACACAAACTATGGGGACCATAAATAAAGTGTTGTTGTATTAAGTGTATTGTATTGTATGAAGTCTAAATCTTGACTCTTAATTTCATTTTGTGTCATTTTGTACTGTTTCTTTACCAAATAAAAATTATATTTACTTTAAAATCATCTTACTTATGGAACACCCTATAAATGTAACTTCTTTTAGAACAAAGGAGCCTATGAATTACAAAAAAAGTATCAACTATTGTTATAGAAAGAATACAGGGTGGTCCAAAAAAGTGAACCCCTGCAACTGGCCATATTTCCCTTATTACTTGCTGGAATTATTTTTTGTTTTCACATGTTGTAGAGGAAGGTCTAAAATTTATGTTGGTACCATACATTTTTCTTAGTCTTGAAATTTGCAGGAATGATAAGCCCTAACCAAACATTACTGAAAATGGACAAATTGTGATTTTCAATATCCGCGATTCTTCAACCCTTTAACACCTTTCCCCTGAGAATTTTTGAAGCTGCAGTCTTAAAGAACTAATGTTTTCTGACTTTGTTCAATTTTAAATCTTGCAAATTATGGCTTAAAACTAGCATCCTACATTTGTTAGTTGCAAAGATATTGTGATCCAAAGAGATGTGCTAAGCTTCCACAGACGAAAACATTTTCCAGTGAAATCATGAACATACCCCTAAATGATCTTGAAATGTCAATATCTTCATAAATCATGGATCAATTCTAATGATATATGGCTCAAAACATTGAATATTGGATTTTCTTTTGATTTTTTAAAGATATTTGATGAAGGGGTTATCAGATTCCTGGTCACAGGGGGCAACTTCCTTCCATAAGAGGCCCCCCTCTGACTGTTGGTGTAGGTAACATACCCCTGAACTGTTGAACAGTTAAAAATGCTTCAAAATGATCAATGAAAGTGTGAAATGTGTTTTCTGCTTATATAGTGTCCCTTCTATCATATGGTAGGGTTTTAAACTTGTATCTCTGGTAATAGTACCAGTTAGGAGATAAGGTGATGTCCGATTTAACATTACGATTGCTGGATATGAATTATATTCATGATTTTTGAACAAAAAGTCCTTCTAAAAACACTTTTTGAAATTACATATGGGGCTTTGAGGTTATTCTTTCCAAACGACATTTTGAAAAAAATCCTATACATGCACATGTTATTTCCTGGTACAAAATAAAATATGAAGGCATGTGTGTATTTCCTTGCTTTTTCCAGGACGGTATCCTTGCAACGACTTCGTTTAGCAAACCTGGTGACAGGTCAATGGCAACTCCAGGAAATGCTGATATTTCAAAAAATCATTCAAAATGCCTGCCTTTTCAATTTTCTCAAATCTCAATAACTTCAATATTTGTGATCCTCTCTAAATTTTCTTTAATTTGAATATAACAACGCTAAATAAAGATCTCAATTTAACGAAATTTCCATACCCCAACACGGCCCCTTGGGGAAGGCTGAAAAACACGGAATCTACATGTATGTGAAATAAATATATGTTGTGAATAAACTACCAAAATTTCAAACAACAACATTACTCCCCGCCATTTTTATAATGACGGCCACCTTGACTTTTTTTGCGTAAAACCACTAACCAATATAAATATTTCCACCACATATGAATAAAATCCGTCGACTAGTATTCAAGTTATCTTCAAAACAGACAGACGAATGGACGGACGGACAGACTGACGGACTGGCACTGAACTTCGTTCGTTGGGATATTAGTAATAATTTAGTGAATGTTATAAAAGATCCAAAGATAAGATGAGATCCATTCCATTTACATATAAGCTGTCCTAGAACCCTTATTTTAAAACTACTTGCTAATAGCTACAGCTTATCCTACAACGCCATCTTATTACTATAGCTATAGGGAACTAACATTCTGACCTTTGATTCTCCATTCATTCACTCTTAAAAATATTACTTGGATTTCCTTATATTGAGAACTTGTACTACTCATTTTAAGTAAAAAATTACTTAAATAATCTTGAACTACTGAATAATTTTTAAGTAATTCAAAGTTATTACAAGTAATTATAAGTAATTTAAAACAATGATATATATATTAATTAAAAGAATTAAAATGACTTCACAGGCACTCTGAATTTATGGTGAATTTACTAATGCAAGGAGAGAAATTGAAATACGTACTGTAGTAATTGTAATACTCATTTACATAATTAAGCAATTAAAAAACTCAAAATGACAATATAAGTAAAACCCAAGTAAAATGAAGTAAAACTAAGTATTTAAATTTAAGTAATTTTTATACTTGGGAAATACTCAAGTAATTCATTTTTAAGAGTGTTAATGTTTTGAGAATGCGTGCGTTTCATATTTTTCAATATATTTTTGAGTATATAAGTTATATTAAAAGAAACCCTTAGAGAAAATAATTCACACAAATAACGCTGATATATTGTTCAAAAGACACACGAGACAATTATTAATACCATGACTTGCATAAAGATCTAATAAATTGTTGATTCTCTTAATAAAAAGTAAAAGTTGTAAATATTTTTGCATTCGGGATTTAGAGGTGAGTAACAGGTACAATGGTAGACATTTTCAAATGTCTTCTCTAAATTCAATTCTGACTTACATACTAGGGCTCGTCATACTGTCATAACAATATGAATGATTCATAAAACAAGAAACTGGGAATTCATCAGCCTAATTAAAGGGACGAGAAGGGATAGAGACAAGTTTGAAATAGTAAGTTTAAAAAAGTTATAATTTTACAATGTATTTTGCACTCGTCATTCAATAGCATGCCTATTCCAACAGTTCTTTCTTTATTTCAGCATAATCCTTTAATTTTGATGTTATCTGGCAAGAATGCTGATGAATTTGGACATTTCTGTATCTTAAATCTTTGATAACTTCCTATTTATCATAAAAAATAGGAGTATAAGGAAAACATTGGGATTATTTTTGAAAATATTCATTCAATCATTTTAAGCTCTCTGACCCTTTTAATGATGGTGATGATGATGGGAACATAACTTCCGTTAAACTGCTTTTTCTTTTGTAAAGAGTTCAGGAACAATACCGATGCATTTGGCAATTAGTTAGCAGCCCAGTATCTAGCTAACGCCAAGTAGAATGATTATGGCTAATTATTTTGACCCTAGAGCCAGGAGCTCGGGTCTTTTAATCTTATTTTTGAGTTAACATTGCATCTATTTTAGCACAGTTGTAGAAAATGATGTATCAAAAAACCAATTTAAGTGAATCTTCGTGAATGATAAATACATGGTTCCAAATAAGTACGTGTTTCCGCATTTATTTAACTTTTGTTAGATCATTGTACAATCTTTATTACTCTCTCACCAGAACCGTGAATTTAATAACTTCCCTTCATGTACTAAGTTAAGACTACGGGGTTTATATTTCCAGGTGGCACTATGGGTCATATCATTCTATTGTGGTTTTTAATCTTAGTCGGTAGGGGATATGCAGCAAGTATTCATGATCTAAGCAACCTATTTGATTCACGAGGACGAGGTCAAGCGGCAGATATAGACAGCAGTAAGTAGTCTAGAAACATTCATCACATGATTGATCAGAGCTATGACAACTATGTTTTGCTTGGTGAAAACCAATTTAATATCTTATTTTATTTCCGAAGAAATTATGATACACTCAGAATTTGACATCGTTTGATGATCCTACTAAAGCAATTTAATTAAATAATATTAAAATGATTAATAAAAAGTTCCATTTGTGTAAACAGAAGCGTTATTAGTAAATTTTGATACCGCCATTTTTGTTTGTCGATTTGGAATAATCAGAGGTGTATGTTATCTCAATACATAAGCTTATGTCATCTTTGAACTCTGTGGTTAACCCCCCCCCCTGCTCCAGAGATTGAGACTGATCGATTCATACGGGCGCCCTAATGGCACTCGTCGTAGTTGTAATTGTCAGTTGCTTCATGGTCCTGTACTATTGCAATATATCCATGTAATCTTTGGGATCTTTCTCAAGGCATACGGTCTATCATGCATTAAATAATTGGCATTTTTGTGTTTAGATCAATGTGATCCGTATCGGATGAAGTACATATATGATCATGATCAATCAGACTTTGAACAATCGGACTGTCATTACTACATGTGCAGCTCGTCCAGGATATACGAACGACAAAAATGCCCAGATGGCAAAGGTGTCAGTGACTTATTTAAGATCAAGTATGAGAACTATTCTCAGGGGCAAAGTTACGACCCTTGTACTAAGTATACCACAGCCTGTAAGAGAACATTGGCAGAAAAAGGACTGAGTAAGTAGAGGTTCAAGTTTTGTATTCGTTGTTCCCTCTTCAAAAGAGGAAACGCGAAAGAGGTCAAAATATTTCCCACGATGCAGTACGCGGAGGAACAAATTCATACTTCCTTGTTTTCTCCCATTAGTTTAACCGAGGTTGACGTCCTTGGTTTAACATGGGGATTTTCACACCTAATTTTCAATCGATATATTCGTTCAAATTCAATTTATATTCGAAATCATGGTTATGTGCACATGACATATTGTATTACTTGTGAAATTGCAATATAAAAACACATCAATGTCCCTAGCCTGATTTCTGATATTCATAAATGCGATATCCTGAAAGTGTTATTATTTAATTTGATGAACTCTTGGGGAATCCATGCGTTTCAACAAATGTAATGACAATCAATCAATCACGAAATCTTCAACAACCCATCAAATCATTTATTTTCAGCCGAATTCGAAGTTCCCGTTTGCGGCCAGGACTTCGTGTTCATTGCTGATATTTCGTGCAGCATCTCCCCAACTGACAAAGAGAAGATTCGACGCTTCCTTATATCAGTTGTGAAAAGAATTCCAGTTAGGCCTCCTTTCTCACAAGTGGCAATATTACTCTACTCTGAAGTCACATACCACATTGCATACCTAGACTCATATCGCCGATCAAAGGTAAGATTACACCTTTACGTTCCTGTTTCCCTCATATACACAGGGTACGTACCAACGAAAGCGTGACAGTTAAATGTGCGGGGTACGGTACAGTGACAGCGAACTCGAATTTCATAGTTAAAACCTACACAACCTTAACTCCGAATATAGTATACGGTATAACGCGCGGATAAGATATACGGTATAACGCAAATTCCAATAACTTGTTGTGTTGTAACTTACCGTTACCGTGCGTCATACCGTATACTACATACCACTGGCGGATTAGGGGGGGGGGGGCCTGGGGGCCAAAAAAGGCCTTCAGACCTCAAAATTTTTGGTCATCACTAGGCCTTTTAAGGCCTTATTTTTTAATTTCAGGACTAATTTTGAAGAAAATGGGCCGCCTCAAAATTTCAAAATTTGGGCCCACTTTTGGGTTTTAGGGGCCCAAAAATTTTTTCCACGCAAGCGCGGACGTTTTTTCTCTCACCTGAAATTTGCCCCCCCCCCACCTTGTTGGTGCCCAGATCCGCCCCTGCATACTACGGAGTTTGTGTAGGTTTTACTGTGAAATTAGCCGTCAAGTTCACTGTCTAGGATGTTGTTACAGACATTTCAAACTGCACAAACAATGGGATTATATTGTATTTTAATCTACTTAAAACAAGTAAAATCATTTGGGTCGACTTGACTAAGGGTTGAGTTGACCAAGGGTTGAGATGACTTGGACAATGCTTATAACATCATAAAGTGAATAATATACTAAAAAACTGCTTGTATATTATATGGGTTTAGACCCCGGTTAATTATTCACTTAATATATACATTTAACCAGATAGCTCTTTTAATTTCAGCTAGTGAAAGTCTTGGAAAACATGGAATTGATTCCAAAGACATGTGGTACAGCAACATTTTCTGCACTGAAAGAAGCCAGGGAGGTGTATTTCCAAGAGAAGAATGGACATCGTCCAAACAAAAAGGTATGCTTTGACTTGTCATACGTTGACTTTTTATTATTTTGTATGGTGTTATTCGAGAAACACAAAAACATAGCGGTTTACAGGTGAAACAATAGATCACCGAAGGGACAGTACATAATAACTCCACTTATCCCTGTAAATTAACACATGTTAGTCAGGAGTGAACAATCAAGAAATTACATTGTAATTTTAGAAAATTGCGATTCTAATCACTGATGGGAGGACGTTTCCAGGTAAAAGAAAACAAGAAACGCTTGATGAAGCCAAAAAGAACGACGAAGCCGGTATCATATCATATGTCGTAGCAGTGCCAAATCAAACGCAACAAGGGAAATTGGTAGGCTTTGATGAATGGGACGCCATCGCCACAGGAAATGCTGTCAAACCAGGTCCGGAAAATAGAACCATTGATTCTAACGTATATGCTCTAGAATCCTTTGAAGAACTGCGGGAGACAATTAGTCAGATTGTTTATGATACATGTAAGAATATGTAAACAACATGGATACAAGACAAACTGTTTGGATGATTGAAATACTATGACACGTTTTATTATAAACATAATGTACGATATAAATATCAAGAAGTAAAAATTAATTCATCAGTTCATTTTATTGTAATATTTGTGTGGTTATGACGTTGAACCTTCTACTGACGTTAATCGTAACTCAAAGTGTTAGGGTCAGTTGCATTTCAGTAACAACTTATTTGAGGTCAGTGTCAGACATACATTAGCATGACAAAATGTCACAATTTGGTAAGCTATTGCAAATCGGTATAAAAGTGTAACGTATTGTTACAGATCCCGAACGAACATAATCACTTTAGCGATTGTGACATAAAAAATATTGCAAGTGTTACAGGATGTCATATTTTGTCATAGTAACTGCTCTAACCAAAAACCAAATCGATGTTTTGTTACAGACATCGATGCATCGCCAGAACCAGCTTTGGCGATGTATATCGCGATGTATCGATTAATCGCGACAACGCTATAACAAACGTTTGCATCCTGTGGGGACCAACTTTTTGACATTTTCCAAATTCTGTATCTTCTTATTAATCAAAAGTGTCTCATTTAAAATCAATCGATATCATGAAATGCAGTTAAGTGATAAAAAGCATATATGGGACAATTTACGATAATTGATATTTTAAAAATATGTTGTTGTACTAGAGCTTCCTGGTCAACTCAACCCCAAGTCGACTCAACCCAAGTCAACTCAACCCTTAGTCAAGTCGACCCAAAGTCAAGTCGACCCTTAGTCAAGTCGACCCCAAGTCATCTCGACCCTTAGTCAACTCGACCCCAAGTCATCTCAACCCTTGGTCAACTCAACCCTTAGTCAAGTCGACCCAAATGATTTTACTTGTTTTAAGTAGATTAAAATACAATATAATCCCATTGTTTGTGCAGTTTGATTTGAAATCAAACTTCAAAGAAAAAAACATTTCTACCACCTATAGATCAAAACGAAGATTTGAAATGGATCATAAAATCCCAATCTGATTGTTTATGACACCTGACATGGGTACGATAATGGAAATTGTAAAATCATAAATCCCATTGTTTGTTCAGTCTTGTTTTAAAATCTAGATTAAAAAAAATAAACATTTCTATCGCCTATAGATCAGAAGGAAGATTTGAACTATATCATATTGTTTATTGTTTATTATTATTATCAAAATATAAAATCATTCAATACAAAGTAATGGATGGATAATGGCACAATGCACATGTTGCATAAGTTACCTGTTGTCAAAAATACTGTTGCAACAATTTCGGTATAACAGAAAAGTGTATAGATAATTTTTTTATTTCAGAGAGATAAAACAAGCTCAAATATGAAGGGGTGAAATATATGTATAGCATCGTGAATAGCCCTATTAAGATTAATCAAATATTATTTTGGTAAATAAATGTCATATTTATAAAAATTATAAATGCGTTAAGCACAAACTTCAATAGTTGATAATTTTATTTTGGAAAATTAGCATTTTAGTCCCTCATTCTTTCAAAATTCATCTATATCATACCATGAAAATAGTATATCTATTTGTTTTTTATGGTGGGGTCGAGTTGACTAAGGGTTGAGATGACCAAGGGTTGAGATGACTTGGGGTCGAGTTGACTAAGGGTCGAGATGACTTGGGGTCGACTTGACTAAGGGTCGACTTGACTTGGGGTCGACTTGACTAAGGGTTGAGCTGACTTGGGTTGAGTTGACTTGGGGTTGAGTTGACCAGTTACCGTACTAGAAACTGTGACAAATATGTTGATTTCATGGACATGCAATGTGTTATTTTTTGTTGACCAGACTCTCAGCAATCATAACCACATAACCTGTTTGGAATATTGCTTATCTTTTTACAAAATATCACTTTAATGATGGATTTTTAGACAATTAAGAAATATTTTATTTTTTTGGCAAATATAAACTCGGATTTCTTAACCTAAAATGTATCGATTGCGTTGATATTTTTGACCATGTCAATAAAATATATGTGCTACCAACTCTTGAAAGTGGGATGTTTGATATTTCTTAGTCAGATTTGTAGAAAACTAAGACTTTACTTCATCATCTAGCTTAGACCCTTTTTATTGTGCTCGTACAGTACTAGGTTTTTATTTTATTAAGCAAAATGTGATGGTTAAAAATAGAAAATGGAATTTCATTGCTTCACAAAAAACGTTGTAGGAACGAACGTTTTGATAATGCAAATACAACATTTCAGGATGTCAAAATCCACCTCATTCTAAAAAAATGTGTCTAAATTCCATGGTGATCACTTACAGAATAAAAGAAGTTGTAAACTTCTAAAAAGTTCTCCTTATCAATCCTTCTCTTTTACATTTCTTCGTAAGAGGAGAAGAAATTGAAGTAATATTTGGGAGTTTAAACTTGCATGTAAAATCGAAACAGTCAAGTTCACTGTCTAGGATGTTGTTATAGACATTTACATATGAAATTATCTAGAAACTAGATCAGATCTTTCTGCAACGATGAAAACATCAGTTTGCTCAAATGTCATCACCCTCATGTTCTACCTACAGTGCGCGTTCACCCGTCAAGCTTAATTTGGTACACACCCTGTGATAATATGACCCGGTCCATTCACTTTCAAAATTAAACTAATTGAAAGACGGATATAAAAGAGTGAAAATGAATAAACATTTTGCTTTTCAACATTACTATGTCACTGTGTATGTATGATGTTATAAAGTAAGCCATGTCAATAAAATATATGTGCTACCAATTTTACCTTACTGTAAAAGGGGTACTCTTAAAATGATTAATGGAGTCTAATATAAATATATCCTCCAAAACAGATGTATTAGAGAATTCATGATTATTAGACACCCTTTTCAGGAAAACCATATTAAATGAAGCCACAAACGTTGTCCTATAGTGAGGGCATCGGAGAAGAACTGTACATGTAAAATTGTATGAAAGTATCTTGCCCATTTCTTAAGTTATCGTTTTTGACATAGGGGTCGTTCAAAATAATTTGCGGCTAATAATTCCAAACGATAACGTTGACTCTATTTACATTTTAATTTTTGCAATTCATTACTAATATCCAAGGAAATGTGTTTAATGTTTGTTTGACACACTCAACTGTGATAAATAATAACTTATTTGAAATTAAACCACTTACCACGACAGACTTATTGAACGGTTAACGAAAATGTGTTGATTTTTTATTCCCTTGAAAATTGCTCAGGTTACGAAATGCCAATATAGTTCCAATGATGCCGCTTACGAATTTATAAAATATAATGTGTTTCCTCTACAATTCAAGAAAAATCATCGTCATATGAATATTTCAATTTTGTATTTTTTCAAATATCAATTATCGTAAATTGGCCCATATATCAGACGCTGGCACCATTTTGCTGGAAGGTGGAGATAAATAGCTTTTGACCATATATCATGTTAGCCTAGCCTGGTAGGTGTAAAAAATATAAGGTGTTTGGCTTTAAAGTGGTAAAAACAGTTTTCATGGCCGAATTTGACCCAAATGTCTAAAATTTTAGGGGTACTATAATATAATTTCATAACATAAAGAATATATTTGCTATTGTTCTCTCATATATACAGGTTTTACTGTATATGATATAACTTGATACAAAAAGTTCATTATCTCAGGGTTCAGGTGTCATAAATGGATGTATTATGGCTTATAAGAAAGGTCTCTACGCAGTTAAACACTAACGGATATACTTCCATTGTTTATGACTGTTGTTATATATTTTATTGATATCATATCAAATAGGACCCAAATATTGTCTATATCTATACATAAAAAACGCAACAAGTACTACATCAATTTTATTCAATGTTTCATAAAGCCACGCCCCCCCCCCTCTTTGCAATGATACGTCATTCATTCACATATAGTCATGGTTGGGTGAGAAATCCTTCCATTTGCACAGTGGGTCAAAATCGGCTCTGTACCAGGTTTCTGATATTGCAAAAATCAGAGCTAAGTGACATTGGAAGTTCTCTTGACTTGAATTGTTGTGACTTTTTCTTTTGGAGCTATCTCAGGAGCATTTGTGCTCACCATTCCTCCACCAGATATTGCAAAACTTCGAGAAAGAATTGCCAATAAGGTGCTTTTCTCCACCTTAACCCACAGATGACTCAGGGCATGACATGGAGAGGTGAGCACATCCTTATGTGTAAAGAAAAGGTGGCAATTTGGAGGGCTGTGTGATGCATTCTTGCAAGTGTATGGGGTATTCATGAAAACTTGACTCTCTATGTCACACCTGCCACACCTTCTTCCAATAGCCCCTATGCCCCATGCACTGACTTTTGCAATGTTTAAAACTTGGGTCTGAGCTGAATTGTGCCCCACTTTGCGAAATTAATGATTATTCGGTCAGTCATGACTCTCTGTGAATGAATGACATTCCATTGCGAAGAGGAGTAATTTGGCTTTTTGGTACATTGAATGAAAAGGATGCAGTCATCATTGGTTTTATGTTTTCTTCCAATATTGCATTGGGCCCCGTACACTGACATTTGCGATGTTTATAAATTGGTCCCAAGCTAATTTTGGCCCACTTTGCAAAAGGAATGATTACTCACCCAACCATGACCCAATATCAACGAATGATATACCATTGGAAAGAGGAGACACATGGCTTTATGGTACATAGAATGAAATCAATGCTGTTATCAGTGGTTTTATGCTTTTCCGAGATAACAATCTGTTGCGTTTTTTTATACGCACTGTACAGTACATATCCCCTAAAATTTGTTTATTTCACATTTTCTAAACTCTCATCCACTGATGTATGGACTCGTGTTAATTCTTATTTTTAACATAGGGAATCCTCACTTCAAACCGTAAAAAAGAATTTGCACGTCAACACTACTAAGTATAGGATAGAATTTATTACTAAGATTAGATTCTAATTATCTTTACACATTTCCAATTAATCCTCCAGAGATGTGTCTATTACCATGGCCAATAACTGATATTTGGATTACGCCAATCGACATGCACGTTTGATTATGCTGCTTATTTTAGTCTTCAAAATGTCATATGATTTCATAAAAAATATATTCTCGCCATTTTCCCCAGTGGATATCTCCATCCATTCCTTCAAACTTGATAGTCCTTGTTGTGAAGTGACGGGAAGAGCGATAACAACTGATTTGATTCCAGCTTCATGGTTACGTCGAGCTTCTTGTATTGTGTCTTCATGCATTGCTGTTGGATTTGTCTCACCATCCGAGATCACTATCATGACATTCTGTAATGAGTATTTGATTATAATCATACATGTATAATGTCTGATGTGATAATAGCTACAATAGTCCATTCGGGAGGAAATGGGATACAGCTGATGTGGTTACTTAAATATGCATTATGCCATAGGTTTCTCCCCCAGACAATCAATGATGTCCTATTATTATTGCTCATATAGTATCTCACATACCATGGATGTATCTTGAGAATAACTTTTGGGTATATTATTGCCGAAATATCGGAAATAATCAAAAGAACAACCAAACTCCAGAATTAAACAATCGATTCATCGGCTATCGAGGGGAATCCCCATTGAGTCACACAAGCGCCCACAAGCGCCTTAAACCAGGGGGCCAATCAGGTTTATGATAAACAAATTCAACGACCAATCAGATAACAGGAGGACTTTCCCGGAACATTCAAACTTCAGATTGAATTAATTTCTTCGAAAATAATTAGAGCGGCCAGCACAATCGCAAAATTAACACTGAAAGAGGGGGATTTGGGACTTCTTCTTTGCTAAGTAGATGGGTATATATGTGGTGAAACTCAATATGCAAAAAAGTCCAGAGGGGTCTTGATTGTACTATCCTATGGCATAGAGCCTCCTTAACATACCAACATTGGGTCTATAATATTTTAAAATACCCAATAGAAAATTCTTTAAAATTAGCTACAGTTCATTCTATTGTGTTGCTAAGTGTGGTTTAATGATGTTTGATCCAGTTTTCATTTTGGGAAAATATTTCCTGTCATGACAGAAAAAATGAATGACCTCGAAAAATAATTTCTCCAAAATGATAAATATCCATGGTTCAGCTGTTTATGGCAACTGAACCCATCCTAATATAAAGCTAAGACTATTTACTTGAAATGTATATCTTGAAATTTCCAATTTCACCCTCTTACTCTGGGAAAGTGACTTTAACTGTGGCAACCCATGTCCCCCTCCAGACCAACCAACCAATGACAAGGATTATGTTCCATGATTCGTGATGAATAGGTTATATATTCAGATTATATTGGATAGTTAAACCAATAGTATCACCCAAAACATTAAAAGAGTAAAGAGAGTTAAAGTTACATACTTAGATGACTTCACTCCATTTAAAAGAATAAAGAATAGAGTTCAATTTCCATTATCTAATGATAATAAAATTTGACTGTATATATTTTATTTTTTCTGATATTGATTGTAAGGTTCTTGGTGATATATTTGATGTGAAATGATTGTGAATGTGTATGCTGTGTAAAAATTTCTTAGATAACTTTTGAAAATAATCCAAGCGATTTGCTTTCAAAAACAGAATCAGTAAAGAAACATCAATACTAAAGGTTCCAAGTAATGAAAATGATGGTTCTTCAACAGGAGATATTTTTGGATATTCTGGCTTTTTATGAGTACTACTATATGATCTTTAGCTACCTTTAAATATATGGTTTATGAGAACTAGATCTAGAGCTATTCATAAAATACCTGTTTATCCGGCCGGTCTCCATTTAACTCGGTAAATTGTTTTTCTCTGGCATTTTTAAGCGCCAACCATGTAGCTGTTCCACATTCACTGTCTTCCACATCAATGTTCATTTGTGACACAGTCCTTAACAACTGGAAAACAACTTAACTTATATATCTTAAATTCTTGATTATCGGACAAACTCAATATGCAATTCATAAAAGAAACATACCTATACATATACGTGGTGCATATTCCATAGACATGATAGAATAATCAATATATTTCAAAAATTCTAAATGTCTAAACTGTATTATATTTATATTATAAATGGCACGGATTATATGTTTATTTTGATTAAAGCATTTAGCTAACAAACGATTAGAATAACTCAAAATTGCAATATTTTCCCTTTAAATTGAGTAAGTCCCTGTTACTGAGGATTTCTCAATATCATAGAACAGAAATGTTGACACAAATACAGTAAACGTTGTGTTCACCATTTTAGAATAGTTGTAGTGAAATAATAGTTCTCCGTTGTAGAGGCCTCATTGTCTCTCTATTTACCAGATACGCTCTTCTGAAGTATTTTGAAAAGCTTCCTAGACTCACACTGGAATAGCCTGACAATGGTAACGTCAGATACCGTTGTCACAAATGGCGGACATAACCATCGCTTCAATTAGATTTTCATATATGTTTAATAGAGCACCTAAACTAAATTCCTTTGGAACAACAATCAATCAAAGTGACTTTATACTCATTGTACAGTTAATTATGTTCTACCATCGAAATAAAGTCTTTAATTCAACCGATCAAAATGAGATATGGGGCAACAGACACTTTATTACCATATGCCGTTGCCTTTGTAAATTATTTCAAATTCCATTGTAATTGACGGTATCAAAGACGCTATATTGTGGCGATTCACGACCCAATTCGATCGAATTGGGATTTTATTTGTAAGTTTAATTAATTAAACTTGATTAAAATTATGCAGCAACAGATCGTCTCAGATAGGGTCAGCCTCTAACATTAAACCTACAAAGCATTTGTCCGGGGGCTGGCCTTATCTGTGACAGATGTCATTCCCAGACACGTGTTCCGGTCTATGCTCCCTTCAGTTGCTTCTTAGCCTGCTAACTGGCTGTAATGATAAATGTTTGCTCGCTAATTTAAATAGGATTTATTGAAATAGGAATAAAATAACAAAAATAAAAAAACAAATAAGAATAATAAAATAAAAGTGCAGAGTCAAAATGCCTCCTAAATCCAGGAAGAAAGATTGTGAGATTGGAGAAGACATTCTTGTGCTATTTTGCAATAATATTGGACTATCATCAAATGCAGTTAAAACTCTGAGGAGTGAATGTTTTAACTCGAAGGGGGCCTTAGACTCAATGGACCTTGACGCTATCATGAGTCTAAACTTGCGTGCTGGGGACATATGTATTTTGAAAAAGCACCTAGCATCAACAAAAGTCCAACCTTCCGTAAATTAGGATGTATCGCCCATGAATGAAATACCCATTTCAAAACTGTTACAAGGACCACCCGGTACACCTATGCCTCAAATAGGACAATCACCAGATAGCAGCGTGACGAGTACCGCCGTACATGGGGCAGCCGCATCAATCTCCCCACTGGTTTAGCTGACGCCTGTTCAGGATAAAGCAGTAGGTGAGCTAAAAATAATTGATTTTATTGATAAATCAATAGAGATAAATAGCGACCAGGAGCTATCGATTTCAAAAAGAGGAGATCAAAATATTCTCGTGTCAAAATCCTCGAAGAGAGAAGATAAGATATCACCCTTTGAATGGGCTGTCGCAAATGCAAAGATAATGGCAAAACTGGAGCAGTCTGAAAAGCTTGCTACACAGGGTGTCCTGGAATACCAAGCATATACTGTTAAGATATTTCAACATACCATTGCGTATGAATGGCAAGGTGTCCTGGCCCTCGACAGAGAATACCGCAAAGCACAACATATACATGGCTTCCCATGGGGAGCAGATCTCAGTCACTTGGATATAAAGCACCTTAAAAGGAAGCAAACCATGTATGCAAATAAGCCCCCAACACAATCTGTATCTGTGCAAAAATCGCAAGTTTTCCCATACCCCTGCAAGGATTACAATAGCGAGGTAGGGTGCTCACGCACTACATGTAAATTTGCACACATCTGCGCAGATTGTAAAGGTAAACACCCTAAAGTTAAACACCCCTCATCAGTAAAAGCATCCCAGGAAAACTAATAAGCCCCTCTGCATTATCGCCATCAGGATATTTAAAGTATGACTTCAGGAATATTGAATTATCATCTGATCATGACAAAGAATTCTTATTAAGAGGAATTAAAAATGAATTTAAAATTATAGACTCAAGCAATACAAAACCGACCCCAGCTGCATGGCCCAACCATAAATCTGCCGTTACTGTAATCAATCACTTAAAAGTGGAACAACAAATCAAACATGAACTAGCAGAAAATCGATATGTTATAGTTGACAAAAAAACAGTTATTATAAGTCCTTTATGTGCAATTGAAAAACCAAACTCTGATTCTATTCGCTTAATCCATGACTGTAGCTTACCTCCAGGCCAGGGGATAAATGCTTATGCAACAAAAGACATATGTAATTATGAAAAACTCCAGGATGCAGTAAGTCTTATAACACCAGGGTGCTATATGGGAAAATTGATTTGAGTGAAGCATATCGCTCAGTTGGAATTCATCCAATGGATTATCCTTATGCTGGACAAAAATGCAAATTTTCTGGAAATATGAATGAAACATATATGATTGACACTCGTTTGATGTTTGGTTCAAGGAAAGCCCCCTCTATTTTTAATAGACTCACCAAGACAGTAAAACGAATGATGCATCGCAAAGGATACCATAACACTATTGTTTATCTGGATGACTTTCTTGTGGTATATGAAACATTTGAACAAGTTCAAGAAGCAATGACAGTTCTCATCCAGTTATTGCGTAACTTAGGTTTTGCAATAAGTTGGAAAAAAGTTATTGGACCTGTACAAAAAATCATTTTCCTTGGGGTCCAGCTATCATCATGCAGTATGTCTATGGAATTGCCTAAGGAAAAACTAGTGGACTTAAAACAAACATTGCTTATGTATCGCACTCGGCGTCGTGCCTCTCTAAAACAATTGCATTCACTCGCAGGGAAGCTCAATTGGGCGTCCCAGCTTGTAAGAGGAGGTAGAACTTACCTTCGTCGTATCTTACAAACTATGACTACACTTCGCAAAACTTCGCATAAGGTAAAACTGGACTATCATTTTTACCAGGACTTAGAATGGTGGATATAGTGCCTAGATACTTTTAATGGGAAGGCTCTATCTTGGAGTCACTTCCCATAACAGATGTGCACATGGATGCCTGTGGAGTAGGAGCAGGAGTTTATCACCAAGATGACTGGTGTTATACAAATTGGTCATCAGACTGGCCTGCAGCATCCTCTCTACATATAAACTATCTTGAGGTTATCACGTTTCTGATTGCTGTCAGGAGGTGGGGTCAGTTATGGACTAACAAGATGGTAATTATTCACACAGACTCTAAAGTAGCCATGTATCTGTTAAACAAGGGAACATCAAAGGACAATTTAGTGATATCTGTGCTGCGTGAACTCTTCTGGTTGTCTGTTATGTACAACTTTGATGTGAAAGCTATTCACATTCCAGGACACCTTAATTGCATCCCTGATGCAATATCCAGACTGCACCAGGCTCACCAATTATCACGCTTAGACTGCCTCTTGTCTGAGGGACTTTATCCATTTTGTGGCTTGACCCCCCATAGTATCGTATATCATATGACTAAAACATCACTGCATTCTATTATTCCGCAGGTGGTCAAGTGGTGGAAATGGAAAAGCAATTGGATGAAGCTGTCTCTCGGTTCACAGACATGGCCTTTGCATCAAGTACCAAACGTACCTACAGCACCCATCGTAAATCTTACCTAGATTTTTGCAGAACAATGAGATATACACCTGTACCCGCATCAACGTCTACATTATGTCACTATGCTGCATATTTAGCAGAAACATTAAAAGCTAATTCTGTGAAACAATACTTGAACATTATCACAATCTTACATAAAGAACATTCTCTGGACAGTCATGTGTGGTCTAATTGGCATTTATACATCATCACAAGAGCTTGATACATGCACAGAATTAGCGACGATAAAATCCCATGAAATGAGGACCAAGTGATTAAAGAGTTGAAGCGATGGTTGTGTCCGCCGTTTGTAACAAAGGTATTCGACTTGACCTTATTCCATATAAATGAAAAATATATGGCACCATGGGTATTGGTAGGGCTATGGGGCTAGAATACATGTAAATGTATTGCCAGAGTCACTCAATTTCTTGATTTAAGTAATTCCATTTAGATAAACTTAAAACACCATTGGAATGTAACTATATGATCTTATTGACATGTGGATTGTGATTTTACATTTAAATTGTGATTCTTGTAAGAGTAAATGAGCTTTTAAAAGTTTTTCAGCATTATGTCAATGGGGATTTAGCCCGACCTCTTCTAGACAACTAGAAAATCATTAGAATTCGAATAAAGGCAAACAACAGTGCAAATCAAATTTGTTTTGATAGAAAATTACACAGGGAGTTCAAATATGCCATCAAATGGAAGAAAAGTTTGGTCCTTACTGGTTAAAATGCAGATCTAAAATCTCATTAAAAACGAGACTTTAACAAGATTTCAAAGCTATATGGAAAAGGACCAATGGTCAGTAGAGCACCTAGACTGGATTCCTTTGGAACAATCAATCAATCAATCAAAGTTTCTTAATACTCATTGTACAGTTAATAATGTTCTGCCATCGAAATAAAGTCTTTAATTTAACCGATCAAAATGAGATACGGGACAACGGACACTGTAATTACCATTTGCTGTTGTCTTTCTAAATTACTGAAATTCAGATTCCGTTGTCATTGACGATATCGAAGACGCTATATTGTGGCGATTCACGACCCGATTTGATCGAAAATGGGATTTCATATGATACATCTAAATGAGGACCAAGTGATTAAAGAGTTGAAGCGACGGTTGTGTCCGCCGTTTGTGACAACGGTATCTGACTTTACCGTTGTCAGGCTAGGTGCTCTATTAAACGTACACTTCATGAAAATCTAATTGAAGCGACGGTACGGTTATGCCCGCCATTTGTGAGAACGGTATCTAACTTCACCGTTGTCATGCTATTCCATGGTGTGCATGGGGGATTTATTTTGTCAGCATTTAATAAAAATAATTGTGCGAAATTCTTGATATTTCTTTGTAAAATGTCATGCTCCGACACTTTACACCTAGTGATATTCCCACCCCGTGATTATATCTTCTGTCGACTTCAATGAATGTCCAGAGGAAGGTTGGTCTTACCTTGCCTTTGCTGGTGAAGGACTTGAGATGAAGCACATTGTGGACACGCTTTGTATAGCTTAGGAGTCCAACTTGAGTGAATTTAGGTCCCAATGTCAGCATTGCAATTGCATGTTTAATAAAGAACTTTATCTTTTCTTTGTTTTCAGCTGCGATACTACATGAAACATGAACTGCAAAGACCAAATCTATTGGGCACATCTTAGCACCGTTATGTCCTGCAATTACAACGAGACCAATATTGGTTACATACGACATGGGCTTTCAAAAGACAAGTACATGCATACGAGGATTATGGCTACTGTTTGAACATTTGAAAACATTGAAAATCAAAAAGATGACACCGCAATGAAAACCACACGGGCACCTATAAAATGGGGAAGAGTCGATGCATACATTACATCTGAGATGTGATATAACATGTTTTACCTAATCCCTTTTGAGACATGGTTAATGAACACTTATCACCGGGTCTACTAATCACTGTACATGGATAGTTCGTCTGTCCTTCAGACCATTCCCATTTGTCTCTAAAGTGTTGGCTGGTCCTTCTCCCATTTGGACATTGCTTTCTTACGTATAACTTGTTCACGCATTCATAGAAATGACAGGGATCGATGGGTTCATCGTCTTTACCGTAGATGTACCTGTCAAAACGGGTACTACACTCGGCTAGAATAGATGGCGATACATTTATTTTATTTTGCATCTTAATCTAACATTGGTAAGTTACAGGCAGCCTATGTTATGATTGATACAATAGTTAGCTTTTAATATGATACTTTGGTTAACATATTTAATTAAAATAGTAATCTAAGTAAAAGTTTATTTTCGTGATACTTTAAGTAATGATAAAATCATTTGACGGAGAATGTTTAAAACGTTGCATACGTTTTATTTTTGTTATATCTCGGCGACCGTAATTTGAAAGTACAGATCGTCTGTAAAATCTTCCTCCAAACAAACTCGCCAAATATTTTTGAGGGTTGAACGGCCTAGATGATACTTGGAGAAAAGTACAGCATACAGCCACAATAGCACTAATCCAAGACAGATGCATCTTTATCTAAAATACGATTATATTTATGTACATACATGTATATCTTGTAAAACTCCGGCATGCGAAACATCCTAAGTAATCATAAATATTTGATATAGGTCTACGCGGTATTTTTCTTTTAATACAACGGTTAATTGACACTAATTGTTGTATGATATGATACGTATACTGTATAAGTTTAAATAATTGGAATAAACTTAACCTTGAAAAGTTATGCTTGTGGTATATCTTGCATACACGAAGAGCTATTGTGTTGACGTTAAATTGCAAATATGGTAGGAATTGACAAAATTTTAATAACTTCCTCCTGTTAAAGCAGCGCTGTTTTAAATAGATTATATTGGTAGATTTAATATCACTGAACATAGTATTGCTTGTTGAGTATCACACAACATTACCGTTTATCATTTATTTTGGATTACATAGGGGTCATTTTTAAAATATTTTTTCTTTGTATTTAAAGATTTCTTTTAAATAGATAGTAAATGAGTAAAAATATCATCAACTCTTTGACATAGAGAACATTTATGCAATTTCAACTGAAAAATAAGATCAAAATTGACGTCACATTCACAGTGGGTGGTATAACTTATTTAACACTGTTTATTTTTTTTTATTTTTTGTTCCAGTCTAACAATTTAAATTAGTCTATATTAGTTATAATTACATCATTGACTATTTCTAAATTTGTTGAGAAACATACAGCATAACACATTTTTATTAATTTGAGATTTCAGCAGAGATCTAATTTACGGTAACTGGTCAACTCGTACCCAAGACAACTCGTACCCAAGTCAAGACGTACCCAAGACAACTCGTACCCAAGACAACTCGTACCCAAGACAACTCGTACCCAAGACAACTTGTACCCAAGTATATGTTTGTTTTGAATCAAGTGTTGGGCTAAGAATGGGTATAGATATTAAAATGGTTACATACAGTTCAGAATAGTTTGAAGTATGTAGAAGAGTTTTTGGAAGAAATCGATTGAATATATTGGTCACGGATTCAGATGTTCGAGGGAAGAGATTTATGTTTATTCCACATATTCATAATCATTGTTCACAATATTAGTGGTATTTTTGTATGTTAATGAGTGTTTGGAACAAGTATCAGATCTAATTCATTTTGAAATATGGTATTATCAAAAATATAAAGATTTTCAAAACTTGCGCCTATTTCTTATTAAACAGATAATCTATTTAGGATTTCATATTATCAGATTAAAGAATGATAATTCTAAGAAGTCACCTTCATAAAATTAAGCAATATAAAATATTCTAAATAATATTAATATCAAATATTATTTTGATACTTATTCATACATGATATAATACACTTTGCATGCATGTGTTCAAATATAATCCAATTAAGTTCAAAATGGAAAAGAAATTAACAGATTAAAGTTCCCTTATTAATTTTCTCTGAATGCACTAAGCTAAATTAATTATTTGATTCATTTGTTGAAAAGTTGCTGTTGTAATTATATTCATTTGTATATATATATGTATTACAAAAAAAGTTGAGAACAAGCCCTTCAAAGCACTTCAAAGGTAATCCAAGTTAAAACAAAATGCTTTGCTTAATCCATTGAGAAAAAATGTCTTCTAAATTCAGAAAAAATATTGAGGCACATTATAACATTAAACATTTTGACACAGACTCAATTTGTTTTCTTATATGCACCCATAATACAGAAAATAAACATGGGTACGAGTTGTCTTGGGTACCAGTTGACTTGGGTACGAGTTGTCTTGGGTACAAGTTGTCTTGGGTACGAGTTTTTTGGGTACGAGTTGACTAGGAAGCTAATTTACAAATCATCAATTATAAAAAAAAATAACAAAATGTGAAAATATGATAAATTATTAAAGAACATCGGGCAGAAAAACCTTGACCTGGCCTTGGAGAGTAGGTGAAACTTTGCAAAGTTCACATCTTTTATTTTATTTATTCTTCGGCTTCATTGACTTAACAAGGGGATACCATCAAGTATCAAGATTTGATGATATCCTTATGTTAAGTCTATGATTTCAAAAATTCGAAATTACTATTATATTGGATTTATATCTAATTTATGATGAAACTTGACATATCCTTTTATCAATACTTCAAGTATTCGAGACAATAGAATAAAATTCAGAATTCTTACTTTTCAAATGCTCGGGGAGGGGTACTATTTGATGATTTTTGACACTTTTTGTGTTTGAGACAATAAAAAAATAAAAACTGTTTAATCCTACTGTTTTCTAGTGGAAGGGTTCAATGTTATTCAGTGATTTCTATGCACTTCCAAAGTGTTTGAGTCAATTAGAAAAAATAATTAAAATTTTCCTTTTCAATTTCAGTGTGGGGGTGCCATAGTGGGTGCAATCGTACCCAATACACCCCAGTCCCCCATCCGATGGATCTGTACATTTATGTATGTTCATAGATTCATATTTTATTGCCAATTAGACCATGAATCAAACAATCACAAGATACTTAATCCCAAATAGGCATGGCAATAAATGCTACGCTGGGGAACACCAATGATAAAGATGATTAAACAAACATGGATTTTACATTAAATAAATACTAGATGTAGTATTATCTTACTTGTCAAATCCTGAAGAACAACATAGATGTGCAATGAAGGTGAAATAATGTGCTATAATTTTTTTTTTAATTTGAACATAAATACAGACGGACAGACGGTATCGTTTTCAATTTAGCAAATACAATAAATATATCATGATAATTACGTTTCAAACAAACAATTTATTAGTAGATCAGTTGTAAACTTCAAAAATATTAAAAATATTAAGATTTAATCATTTTTAAATTTTTATCGACCCCTGCTAGACCCTTCATTAATAAGTAAACGGTAATGTTGAAAGGTGCTCAACAGGTGAAAACGTATGTAGGAATATGTGTTTTAACATTTAAAAGTATCAAAATGAGTGCTAAATCAACAGGAGGAAACAACTTAACAAGGGCTCATCTGAAAATTTCCTTGAGCTCTAATTTTATGATATCAATAAAAACAGTAATTTTGAAGTATGGGGAACTAGTAGCATAAGTAAGGTTAAGTAGTATACATTGTTAGCACTTTGATTAAAAATGATATAATCGCATACATGCCAATCATTCGCCGATAAAAACAGATTTTGGAAACAAGATGAATGGGGTTTAGAAAAAAACAAATCCGTAAATTCTCTTAGAGAGAAAACATGTGGTTTGAAAAAATCAAAAGAAAAGAACATAGGAATCCAAAAAGTTTAAGATCGGACTTTTTTGAAACTGATGAAAACCTGACTATTTCTTGAAGAAACAGTTAAGAGGAGAAACAGGAGACTTACAAGTATCATTTTATTGATAATTTTGTTAAAAACAAGGCGTTATATGGCAACATGTATGGCACAACTTGGTTGCACACATTATCAGAGAGTGATTTTGAAAAAAACCTTCTCAATAATAAAAGAATCATAACAAACTTTCATTTGTAGAGTGTGAAATGCTGTACACAGTGGTGTGGTATACTTACGACTTAATTTGGAATTCAAAATAAGAGGGTTGCATTTTTGTGTAGCCCTGTATATAACACGCCTATTGGCGATCGCTACATTAATTTTATGCATATAAATTGAGTCCCATAATCTGTTGCCATGGCACAACTAATTTCCATAGCAAATGAAGAGTATAACACAATAAATCACCCAGGCATGAATTTGAAAATATTTCAATAATACTTTTGTTAGAACTATAGCTAATGTAAAATAAAAAATTATACTTACATACAAAGAAGATCTATCTCATGCAATCTCCAGTAATATGTCTTGTGTTATTGAAACAATATCTAGTTACAAAACCAACTTGGTCACGCTTCATTGTTTCATACAAAGACTACGTCAACTATTGCTTTCAAAAAATTAATAACATTTGTTTATGTAAAGCGTAATCTTTTTATTCATTTACTGGCCAGAATGGTCAATCAATATCTTAGATACGAAGGAGGGATTGCCACAAATCAAGGAGGAATTCGCAGCAAATACAAATATTTTGTTAGCAGTATTATGTCATTTCTCACTCTAATTAAACGCTTCCTGTCTATATATTTTCTGGAAATGGTAATCGAACTTCTTTATAGCTCTGTGCTACGAATACAAATAGACAATAAAAATGTAAAACTACCATGAGGAAATCGAGCGTATACATAATGAAATTGCTTATGAATAATGATTAGTGTCTAGCAATTGAGTGATTTCTCTATACAGGATGATTGATTCTAAGCGATTATTCATTGATATTGGGAAATGTTTTTTTTTGTAGATGAAGGTTCTGTTCTAACAGACAGCCGAATGAACAATCAGAACGCACGTCACTCTGAGCAACATTTCAAGTTGGAACAATATAAAACAGTACCAATGAATCACCATTCAATAGACTAGATGCAAGTAGAAATAACATTTGAAGTTGGAACAAAATAAGACAGTACCAATGAATCACCATTCAATAGACTAGATGCAAGTAGAAATAACATTTGAAGTTGGAACAATAGAAGACAATACCAATGAATCACCATTCAATAGACTGATGCAAGTAGAAATAACATTTGAAGTTAGAACAATATGAGACAGTACCAATGAATCACCATTCAATAGACTAGATGCAAGTAGAAATAACATTTCAAGTTGGAACAATATGAGACAGTACCAATGAATCACAATTCAATAGACTAGATGCAAGTAGAAATAACATTTGAAGTTGGAACAATATGAGACAGTATCAATGAATCACCATTCAATTGACAAGATGCAAGCAGAAATAACATTTGAAATTGGAACAATATAAGACAGTACCAATCAATCACCATTCAAAGGACTAGATGCAAGTAGAAATAGCATTTGAAGTTGGAACAATATGAGACAGTACCAATGAATCACCATTCAATAGACTAGATGCAAGTAGAAATAACATTTGAAGTTGGAACAATATAAGACAGTACCAATGAATCACCATTCAATACACTAGATGCAAGTTGAAATAACATTTGAAGTTGGAACAATATGAGACAGTACCAATGAATCACCACTCAACAGACTAGATGCAAGTTGAAATAACATTTGAAGTTGGAACAATATGAGACAGTACAAATGAATCACCATTCAATTGACTAGATACAAATAAAAATAATATTTGAAATTGGAACAATATGAGACAGTACCAAAGAATCACCATTCAATAGACTGATGCAAGTAGAAATAACATTTGAAGTTGGAACAATATGAGACAGTACAAATGAATCACCATTCAATTGACTAGATACAAACAGAAATAACATTTGAAATTGGAACAATATGAGACAGTACCAATGAATTATCATTCAATAGACAAGGTGCAAATAGAAATAACATTTGAAATTGGAACAATATGAGACAGTTCCATTGAATCACCATTCAATAGACTAGGTGCAAATAGAAATAACATTTGAAATTGGAACAATATGAGACAGTACAAATGAATCACCATTCAATAGACTAGGTGCAAATAGAAATAACATTTGAAATTGGAACAATATGAGACAGTACCAATGAATCACCATTCAATAGACTAGGTGCAAATAGAAATGACATTTGAAATTGGAACAATATGAGACAGTTCCATTGAATCACCTTTCAATAGACTGATGCAAGTAGAAATAACATTTGAAGTTGGAACAATATGAGACAGTACCAATGAATCACCATTCAATTGACAAGATACAAGTTGAAATAACATTTGAAGTTAGAACAATATGAGACAGTACCAATGAATCACCATTCAATTGACAAGATACAAGTAGAAATAACATTTGAAGTTGGAATAATATGAGACAGTTCCAATGAATCACCATTCAATAGACTAGGTGCAAATAGAAATAACATTTGAAGTTAGAACAATATGAGACAGTACCAATGAATCACCATTCAATTGACAAGATACAAGTAGAAATAACATTTGAAGTTTGAACAATATGAGACAGTACCAATGAATCACCATTCAATAGACTAGGTGCAAATAGAAATAACATTTGAAATTGGAACAATATGAGACAGTACCAAAGAATCACCATTCAATTGACTAGATACAAGTAGAAATAACATTTGAAGTTGGAACAATATGAGACAGGACCAATAGATCACCATTCAATAGACTGATGCAAGTAGAAATAACATTTGAAATTGGTATAAGATAGTACCAATAAATCACCATTCAATAGACTGATGAAAGTAGGAATAACATTTGAAATTGGAACAATATAAGACAGTACCAATGAATCACCATTCAATAGACTAGATGCAAGTAGAAATAATATTTAAAGTTGGAACAATATGGAACAGTAACAATGAATCACCATTCAATAGACTGATGCAAGTAGGAATAACATTTGAAATTGGAACAATATAAGACAGTACCAATCAATCACCATTCAAAGGACTAGATACACGTTGAAATAACATTTGAAGTTGGAACAATATGAGACAGGACCAATGAATCACCATTCAATAGACTGATGCAAGTAGAAATAACATTTGAAGTTGGAACAATATGAGACAGTATCAATGAATCACCATTCAATTGACAAGATGCAAGCAGAAATAACATTTGAAATTGGAACAATATAAGACAGTACCAATCAATCACCATTCAAAGGACTAGATGCAAGTAGAAATAACATTTGAAGTTGGAACAATATGAGACAGTACCAATGAATCACCATTCAATAGACTAGATGCAAGTAGAAATAACATTTGAAGTTGGAACAATATACGACAGTACCAATGAATCACCATTCAATAGACTAGATGCAAGTTGAAATAACATTTGAAGTTGGAACAATATGAGACAGTACCAATGAATCACCACTCAACAGACTAGATGCAAGTTGAAATAACATTTGAAGTTGGAACAATATGAGACAGTACAAATGAATCACCATTCAATTGACTAGATACAAATAAAAATAATATTTGAAATTGGAACAATATGAGACAGTACCAAAGAATCACCATTCAATAGACTGATGCAAGTAGAAATAACATTTGAAGTTGGAACAATATGAGACAGTACAAATGAATCACCATTCAATTGACTAGATACAAACAGAAATAACATTTGAAATTGGAACAATATGAGACAGTACCAATGAATCATCATTCAATAGACAAGGTGCAAATAGAAATAACATTTGAAATTGGAACAATATGAGACAGTTCCATTGAATCACCATTCAATAGACTAGGTGCAAATAGAAACAACATTTGAAGTTGGAACAATATGAGACAGTATCACTGAATCACCATTCAATAGACTAGATGCAAGTAGAAAGAACATTTGAAGTTGGAACAATATGAGACAGTACCAATGAATCACCATTCAATAGACTAGGTGCAAATAGAAATGACATTTGAAATTGGAACAATATGAGACAGTTCCATTGAATCACCTTTAAATAGACTGATGCAAGTAGAAATAACATTTGAAGTTGGAACAATATGAGACAGTACCAATGAATCACCATTCAATTGACAAGATACAAGTTGAAATAACATTCGAAGTTAGAACAATATGAGACAGTACCAATGAATCACCATTCAATTGACAAGATACAAGTAGAAATAACATTTGAAGTTGGAATAATATGAGACAGTTCCAATGAATCACCATTCAATAGACTAGGTGCAAATAGAAATAACATTTGAAGTTAGAACAATATGAGACAGTACCAATGAATCACCATTCAATTGACAAGATACAAGTAGAAATAACATTTGAAGTTTGAACAATATGAGACAGTACCAATGAATCAGCATTCAATAGACTAGGTGCAAATAGAAATAACATTTGAAATTGGAACAATATGAGACAGGTTCCAATGAATCACCATTCAATAGACTAGGTGCAAGTAGAAATAACATTTGAAGTTGGAACAATATAAGACAGTATCAATGAATAGACTAGATGCAAGTAGAAATTAAATAACATTTGAAATTGGAACAATATGAGACAGTTCCAATGAATCACCATTCAATAGACTAGGTGCAAGTAGAAATAACATTTGAAGTTGGAACAATATAAGACAGTATCAATGAATAGACTAGATGCAAGTAGAAATTAAATAACATTTGAAATTGGAACAATATGAGACAGTACCAATGAATCACGTACCATTCAATAGACTAGATGCAAGTAGAAATAACATTTAAAATTGGAACAACATTTGGTGAAAGTATTGAGTTCATGCTCAAAATAAATTTTGAAAATATGCAATTACTGTATCGATTTACGGTAATCAAGTCGGTATCAGGACTCTGTTGTCTAATAAGGTCTAATACACTCCAAAGAATTTCAATAATATTTCATTTAATTTGTATGGTACTCTTGGCAGAAATATCTGCAACCTATTGTAACATTAATATGTGCAATCTTGCTCAATTGTCTTTTTTTCACTTTTAATATTTATTGTAATTGTACTGCTTCTCAACCTGAATTAAAAACGTATTTAAAAACTATGGAATTAATGGCATTGCTCTGTTCATTTGGGTAATTTATGTGACACTACCATTCACAATGCATTTGCATATTAGGATTAGGGTTCTTGTAGAACTAAACATCAACTAGAGAATTTTACAAGCTCTCTTGATAATCATATTCAGGCTTTCTTTCAGCTGTTGAAATGAGTTCATGTAGAATATATTCTCATCTCCGTCCCCGCTAGCAATGGCCTGCCACTCGTCTATCCCCGACAATCCGAAGCGTCTAATGTTCGGTAAAGCGATTACCATCGATTTGATACCATATTTGGGCATATGATTTATTGCAGCTTCTCGTTTTGTTTCTGAGGTCATGTTGTCAGTTATTACAATGAGAACATTCTGAAAAAATGAGTGTGTGCAAACAATGTGCATAGAAACGATGAAAGCATTTCAAGACATCCTGAAACAATGCAAACACTGAAATAATGAATGAATGAATGAATGAAATAATATTCAAACATGACCGTGCTCTATTCGAATTTCTCAACCAATCAGAATGCAGCATAGCCAATATTGAACGTTCTCTAATTCTCCATAGATGCACGACCATGCTCTATTCAATCTGCAATTTGCATTGTTTTGAGTGACGTCACATCTCAGCTGCACATCTGGGGCTCTGTCCGGGGATAGCTGTTCTTTTTGTACCAATGAATCACGTACCATTCAATAGACTAGATGCAAGTAGAAATAACATTTAAAATTGGAACAACATTCGGTGAAAGTATTGAGTTCATGCTCAAAAATAAATTTTGAAAATATGCAATTACTGTATCGATTTACGGTAATCAAGTCGGTATCAGGACTCTGTTGTCTAATAAGGTCTAATACACTCCAAAGAATTTCAATAATATTTCATTTAATTTGTATGGTACTCTTGGCAGAAATATCTGCAACCTATTGTAACATTAATATGTACAATCTTGCTCAATTGTCTTTTTTTCACTTTTAATATTTATTGTAATTGTACTGCTTCTCAACCTGAATTAAAAACGTATTTAAAAACTATGGAATTAATGGCATTGCTCTGTTCATTTGGGTAATTTATGTGACACTACCATTCACAATGCATTTGCATATTAGGATTAGGGTTCTTGTAGAACTAAACATCAACTAGAGAATTTTACAAGCTCTCTTGATAATCATATTCAGGCTTTCTTTCAGCTGTTGAAATGAGTTCATGTTGAATATATTCTCATCTCCGTCCCCGCTAGCAATGGCCTGCCACTCGTCTATCCCCGACAATCCGAAGCGTCTAATGTTCGGTAAAGCGATTACCATCGATTTGATACCATATTTGGGCATATGATTTATTGCAGCTTCTCGTTTTGTTTCTGAGGTCATGTTGGCAGGGTACGTTTCACCATCAGTTATTACAATGAGAACATTCTGAAAAAATGAGTTTGTGCAAACAATGTGCATAGAAGTACGATGAAAGCATTTCAAGACATCCTGAAACAATGAAAACACTGAAATAATGAATGAATGAATGAAATAATATTCAAACATGACCGTGCTCTATTCGAATTTCTCAACCAATCAGAATGCAGCATAGCCAATATAGAACGTTCTCTAATTCTCCATAGATGCACGACCATGCTCTATTCAATCTGCAATTTGCATTGTTTTGAGTGACGTCACATCTCAGCTGCACATCTGGGGCTCTGTCCGGGGATAGCTGTTCTTTTTTACTCCCTCCGTAACTACTGTAACTATATCAACACCCGATGTTTGCATACACCGTATAAAATCTAAAACGGGGAGTAAAATAGAACAGCCCAAACAAATTCTAAAATTTTTCCGGCCGACTTCAGAATCTTGACAGCATGCGTATTCTTCCTTCATGCCCGTTCCACAGACACGGCTTTTACTAATTTTTATGTTTGAATCGGAATAAATAATGATAGGCCATTCAATATGGTGAAATTCAGCACTCGTTGGACAGAATGTTAGTACAAATGCACTCACCTTCGGTTCGTGCTTTGTACAACATTCTGTCCAACTCGTGCTGAATTTCACCATATTGAATGGCCTATCATTATTTATTCCTTAATTCAAACATGACCGTGCTCTATTCGAATTTCTCAACCAATCAGAATGCAGCATAGCCAATATAGAACGTTCTCTAATTCTCCATAGATGCACGACCATGCTCTATTCAATCTGCAATTTGCATTGTTTTGAGTGACGTCACATCTCAGCTGCACATCTGGGGCTCTGTCCGGGGATAGCTGTTCTTTTTTACTCCCTCCGTAACTATTTTATTTTATCAAGACCCCATGTTTGCATACACCGTATAAATCTAAAACGGGGAGTAATATAGAACAGCCCAAACAAATTCTAAAAATTTTCCGGCCGACTTCAGAATCTTGACAGCATGCGTATTCTTCCTTCATCACCCTTGGTATACGCAGCTAACGAAAATTGACCGGTACGGGTCAAAAGCTGGACCGGTACGGGTTAACGGTTTTATTTGAATTTAAAATAGCCATAACTTGCTCAATATTGACTTCCTCGTGTCTAATTTGAAATATATGATGCCTCCCGATGCTTTAAGTACCCCAATTTTTTACAGATTTTTAAACGGACCAAAACTCTCTAAATGCGCATTTATGCTCTTTTCTCTCGAGAACGACTGTCTCATTTTCACGATAACTTTTATTTAGTACTTCTAACATATAAGATCTATTTTTCCCCATCAAGGTATGATGTAAATAACATGCTATTTACGTCTTGTGAGTTTCAATGACACGCGTTTGATTTTCATGGCGTAGAATAATGGAAATAGCGTCATGAATCCCGGGACAATCAAATCTCGAGTCCAAGTACGTCGTTAATGGTGAAAATCAAAATATTGACAAATTTGTAACCTAAAAGGCCGAAAGATTATGCGGCAAATATTGAAACGGGGGTTGTCAACATATTGTATTAGCTTTGATCTCTTAGAATCCGTTGAATCCTAAGCGATTGGAGTTGTTTAGATCACTTAACGAATGGTATGAAATGATGCGGATTTGGGTTTTTTCAAAGTTTATAATGGCGGCCAATAGGGGATTTTAGCAAAATATCCCGAAAATTAAATCATTAAAAGGCCGAAAGATCTGTGGATGGATTTTGCTGTTTTATATATCAAAATGAACACTTCGTTGGGTCTAACAAGGATCCGTTGAATCCTAAGAAAATAAATGATTTGCTCAAAAGTTATTAAGATTTTAAATTTTGATGAAGACTGCTCTCCATTGAAATCTTTGGACCATGAAATGTCGATTTACGCGCATGCGTTGTGACGTTATTTTCATATTCTACGCCATGATAAAAAATGCCAAACTTTGTGACAAAGAATTTCATCCTGCTTGCTGCGAGAAGACGGACCGGTTCGGGGCAATCTGCTTGCAGCGAGAAGACGGACCGGTTCGGGACAATAGCTGATGAAGTTCTTTGTCACAAAGTTTGGCATTTTTTATAAAATCAAACGCGCGTCATTGAAACTCACAAGATGTAAATAGCATGTCATTTACATCATACCTTGATTGGGAAAAATAGATCTTATATGTTAGAAGTACTAAATAAAAGTTATCGTGAAAATGAGACAGTCGTTCTCGAGAGAAAAGAGCATAAATGCGCATTTAGAGAGTTTTGGTCCGTTTAAAAATCTGTAAAAAATTGGGGTACTTAAAAGCATCGGGAGGCATCATATATTTCAACACGGCTTTTACTAATTTTTATGTTTGAATCGGAATAAATAATGAATGAAAGAAAATAGGGTCTGTCAAAACATTCTGAAACAATAAAAACATTGACACAATGGATTGATAAAAACAACGAAAGCATATTAGTCTAGCTACATGCCCTTGTGTTGGTGAAGTAGATAAGGAGGAGCTCCACATAACAGTCTTGAAGCAAGACTAGAAAAATATCAGAACATTCTGAAACAATGGCCGGATCGTGCACACAATAGATGAATAAAACAATTAAAGCATATAGAATTAAGTGAAACACGGGACATTGGAAGTCCATGATGGATAACATCGGGCGTAATGGAACATACGAGCTTCGTGAAACACATGGGGCTTGGTGAAACACAGGGAGTTGATGGAACAATATGGAGTTCATACAAGAAGTACCTTGATTGAATAAGGGGCTTGGTAAAATCATGGGCTTTCTGTTATAAAATCTACGGGCTTGATAAAAGTGCTCGATGGAACAAAGAAGCCTGTACTGTTTGACAGAACACATTAGCTTTATGCAAAACTGACCTGATAACCTTCTCTCATCCCATTGTCTTCATGGAAATATTCTTCTCTGGCATTCTTCAGAGCAAGCCAGGTAGATGTTCCACAGTCTTCACCCTTGATTTCAAGGTTCATATCTGCTATTGCATTCAGTAGCTGAAATGGACAAAAGATGCCATAGGTTTGCTGGGTTCATTGGCACAGGCTGAAATATTTGTCCGCTGTGACGGAGCATGCTATTTTTCATATAAACACTAAGAATACATCACGATTTATTTTTTAACTCATATGTTTCGTTATACCATACAAAATTACTTACTCCATGCAATGGATATATCATTTGCGGGTAACTTTCACTTCTGTTTGAAGTCCAATTACGCTGGGAAGAAAAACTATTGAAAATGGCGCCGGAGTATCATACTTCAAAATGTACCATTTCTTGTTTAACTTTCTAGTGGCACGATATAGTGACACGATAATATTTACACATGGTTTCAGCATAACTATGAAGGTATAAATGAGATGTTGATGTAATTGGTCTTTTTAATAATAATGTTTAATTTTTTTGTCCGCTGTGACGGAGCAGTTGCAAATGTGAACTGTGAAAATGCTCCGTCACAGCGGACAAAAAATATTCATATTATTTTTTATAAAAAAATTAAAAAGACCCAATGCATTAATATCTCATTAATTCATTCAGAGTTATGCTGAAAACATATGTTAATATTATCGTGTCACTATATCATGCCATTACAAAGTTAAAAAAGAAATGGTACATTTTAGAGTTTGATACTCTGACGCCGTTTTCAATAGATTTTACTCCTAGCGTTATTGGACTTCAAACAGAAGTGAAGGTTACACGCAAATGATATATCCATTGCATGGAGTAAGTAATTATCTTTGATATAACGAAACATATGAGTTAAAAAATAAATCGTGAAGCATTCTTAGTGTTTTTATGAAAAATAGCATGCTCCGTCACAGCGGACAAATCTTTCGATACTAGCCTGTGATTGGTCAGTACCAGCAGAATGTAACCATTTCAAATGGCGGAGGGTATATATCGAATTCTATTTTTTTAGTTTTCGTCGAATTAAACAACATTGTCATACACAGCCGACGTTGATAACCACAAGTGAGTATGCCAATGACCCCTGTTACACAGGCCAGTTGAAATGCTGTGTTTTAGGTACGATATTGTTCACGGCTGTGCCTTGTTAAAGTTAGTTTCCATGCGTTTTATATTTTATAATGAAAAATCACTGAAAAAATACAAAGACCCGAAGATAGAAGGGAATTGAAAGTGGAATCAAAGTAAATGGTTACATTGCCACAGGAGTCCCAGTTGAAATGCTTCGTTACGAAGTTTTGAAACGTTTATCTGATCAATTAGAGAATAATAAATAGTATAAAAACTTCTATCACATCATTTGCAACGTTTTCATTATTCAATAGTTCAACCCTATATGAATTATTGATGATTTTAAAATGCAAGGAATCTAAATGAATCAGGGAAGCCAGTGATATGTATTTGCCTTATTAATTGTTGACTTATACAATGAAATAGACTTAGATGCAAGTAGAAATAATCTTGCTTTACATCATAAAAAATTCAAAATTCAGTCAAATAAGTGATATCATATTTGAAATCTTCATGAAGAATTACATTTCTTCATGCAATAAGTTAACCTTTTAGTGAGTAGTTGTGACTAATGTAATCATGCACTTATATAATTTGTCAGTAAAAGTTATTTATCCTATACTTAGTGTTATAGGTAAATAAAATGCATGAATATAATTGATACCTTAGGTGAGTGGGGATATACATGTACTGCATATCCCGCTTTATCCCATACTTGGTCGTGTTTCAGGTACATAAAGCAGGTTTGTAAAAACTTTTATCCCATACTTGGACGTGTTACAGGTACATAAAGCCGGTTTGTAAAAACTTATATTTTCATCAGCGGGCAGATATAGCTTTACGTCCCGCTCTGAGCGGGCAGATATAGTATATCTGCCCGCTATGTCATAATCGCCGCTCGCACATTTGTTCATAATTTGTAACGTTCGCGTAATGACTGTAAACGACAATGGAGAAAACACAGACAATCGGGATCTGTTTGATGGTTTAAAAAAGGGAAGGAGCATCCACTTAATCAATCAAAAAATTCGAGAAAATAAATGTGGGAATAGAACAGGAAAATCCGCCCACGGTCAAGAAAACAAAACTGGACATGAATATTCTAAAATATTTCCACGATTGAACAATGTGAACCAGATGACCAAGATTGGTATGGGATAAACATATTATCCTATAGTCGGTTCAGGATATTGGGATTATCCCTTGGCCAATATAATATATTGGCCTCGGGATAATCCCAATATCCTGAACCTCATATAGGATAATCTCAATATATTTTCATCAGCGGGCAGATATAGCTTTACGTTCTGTTGCGAGCGGGCAGATATAGTATATCTGCCCACTCCGTCATAATCTCCCTTTCGGGATAGTTCCAATATCCTGAACCTCATATAGGATAATCTCTATGTATCGCCAGGTTTATCACCCGCTCAGTAATCCCCTGCAGGAATTTCATTCTGTGCAATTTCTCATATTTTCGTATATTAGTATATGATAAATAATTTTGGGTACAAGATATAACCCTTGGGAAATACAATATTCTACCCTCAACCCCTCGGGGAGGTATATTGTATTTCCCTCAGATATATTGTATAATCCCTGTATTAAAAACTTCCCATTAATTAAACCTCATATATAATGCACACCATTTTAAATATGAATCAAAACTATGAATTAGTGATATCCATGTTTCTAACGAAAGCATGAATTTGAAAGAAACAAACATTCTACTCATATGGTATAAAGGTATTACTTGTTGTGTCCATTTTAGATTTGATTGAAGAACTTCATTAGAGGCAATTTTGAAATTACAATATATTAAAAGAGGCTCTGTTGCTTAGATGGGAGAATCAATTAGCTGCATTGTTCAGTTTATGACAAAATTGATGTTTAGTGTTACTTTCATGAACACCCATCCTGTAAAATAGCATTTGGAATCTACTAGTTTGTATATAGATGAATTAGATAAGGCATTGTCGAGGAAAAATATCCAACAAGATTACTAGTTTGCTCATGAAATTAGGCATACTTTAACTTGAAACAATTTGTAACACTCAATTTTTGGGGTTTGGAGATCGAAGTCATAATGATGTTTGAAAAACAAGCAATTTTAAAATATTTATGTTTTACCCAAATTTTTAAAGAATGTTAACCTTTGTTTCTTCTGTTTTATTCTCAAATAAATCATGGTCATCAATTCTATTGTGACATAATCATCATTTACCAATTTTAAAATTAAATATTACTGGTTAGAGAATGTGATTTCTTACTTTAGGTTATATTTATATCCCGATTTATATGTATAATAATAATTGATGAAGGCGAATAGAGATTATCCTACATGAGGTTCGGGGTATTGGAATTATCCCGAGGCCAATATAATATATCTGGTCGAGGGTCGTAGGTCCCGAGGGAAGATATTTTCTATTGGACAAAGGCCTTAGGTCCTGAGGGAAGATATATTATATTTGCCAAGGGATAATCCTAATAACATGAACTGACTATAGGATTATCTGTTTATCCCATATCAATCTTTCTTATCTGGTTCACATTGTTCAATTGGCCAGAGTTAGAAAGAATACAACCACATGAATGTATTCATGACTAATTTTATTTTCTTGGCCTTAGGAGGATTCTCCTGTTTTTTAAGTATTCATCCACATATTCTTGAATCATTGATTATTAACATATGTATTAAGTATGCTACTTCCCTCATTGCTAATCATACACAAATGATGATTATGACTTAGTGGGCAGGTGTAATATATCTGCCCTCTCAGGCAGGGACATTAGCTATATCTGCCCGCTGATGAAAATATAAGTATTTATAAACCTGCTATATGTATCTGAAACATATCCAAGTATGGGACAAATGTATCTACTTTGATTTCATACACTAAACCGATTTGTTTAGGAATTATATGAAGTATTTCAAAAACATATACCGAACCACTATTGAAGGAATCATTGAAAATACAGCATATCAGAAACATGTGTAAATTGTTTATCTTGCAATTATTTTGCTAAATACTAATAGAAATTATACTGTACCTTCCAGAGAATAGTTTTTTTGTTAACTATGAGCCAATGAATGAATGAATGAATGCATTTTATTATAACTGCAAAATGCTGCTCTATGCAATTCATACAAAAAATTAATTTTGCCATATTAGAATCAAGTATAATCTTTAATCCATTAGATAGATCATGCATTGCCTGATGTTGAGGTATTGATAAAAGAATCAGCAAGTGTCTGACAAAATGGATTTTAGTGTTATGTATTAGGCAAAATATTAGGAAGGGTATAAACGGTCTCCAATCTTTCTAGTTTTGAGTATTACGTCTTCTTGCTTTGATTCAAATTATCCTCGGTCACTATTTGTAACCCCTCAATCCTTCCCCATTTAGGCCATGGATATGAAGATGATTTGGAGGTTATGTGAAGGATACTAGGGAATGGTTAATAGCCAGAGTTAAATTAGTTCATTTAAGTTTAATCATAAATGTTATGCAATTCACACTAGCATCAAATATCATACCAAAAGGATTGAACTGTTCATTACTTTTCAATTGCAGTAAACATGGTAAAATGGTTCTAAATATTGAACATTGTTGAACAAGCATAGATGACTTGAATAGCTCTAGATGACTTGAACTTATCCATTCATATTCTAGGAACAAGTCAATGAATAAGTAAGACTTGACTCTTGACAGGCTTAAAAGACAGATGACCCTATAAGACTTAAACTAAAAGTTCATTTGACCATTGATGACCTATGATAGGGAAGGGTCAGGATAACACTTATATAAAATATTTAAAGTGTCTAATAATGATAATGAACATATTACAATGTTACACAACATTAGTAGATGCTAATTAAATGTCAATTATTGTTAGTGTAATCTGCATTTTTCATTTAATGCTGCAACAAGCGCACAAGTACCAAAAAGTGCCACGCCCACTTTTCCCTGAGAGCAGCTATGTGTGACTATATTTGATAAATAATATTGATTTATAGGATCATTATATCAACTTTTAAGTGTTTTAGTGTTAATATAGACATAATATTACAAATTTTGACAAAGTAGCAGCCATAAAATCCAAACAGTTTTTGAAATATTTCACTTAGAGAACAAAGGGACACATTTGGGAGGGGGTCAAATTGAGAATATTTCGAGATATAAATACTGTTTCTATGGTAACCATATAAGTTAGAGATTGGAAATTTCCGGCACTTATTAACCATAACATGCCCTACCCAATATAAAACAATGAATATCTGACATGCATTAGTATTCTTTTTATTGGGTGGTATTAAAGTACCCCCATGGTTTTTTGGGGGTAGGGGTATTAATTGGTCTGAGGGCCGTCTGCCACCCCTATAGAAAGTCCAACTACCCAGAAAGTGTCCAATATAATCATACAGATGGTTTGAAATAGGTTGGAATGTGTAACCTTTCATGTAAGGAAGGTTGCATTTCTAGAGCACTTCTACAGAGTGGCTTACAGTCTATAAACCTAGAATATTTAAATGTCCCTCTTTAGGAAAACTCCGTTTCAAGTGTGGAAGGGTAAACTTTTGATATGCTAAACTAAATAGAAAGTTACAATTGCTTCCCGGTGAATCACATCAGGGAATTTAGCCGATTTGATTGATTCGGAAATGTCTCTCTTCAGAAATCGTATTCAACTGGATATCGCGCCATTGCAATACTTGTACTAGTCGTTCCATTATTCTATTCTTCGACGATTTTAAATTGTAATTGAATTTAAAATTCATGTTTAAATATATTGAATTAATTACGTTTCAAAACTTCCGTATACAAATACGGTAAAACCTGCGGACAAGGAACGGTGGCCATTGCCACAGAGAGGCTGCATGTTTTAGGCCAGTCCCAAACACTATTGATGTGTCGTAAGACGATACTTACAACTGATATTCAAGTTTCTTCCTATTTGCGCCATTTTCGAATTCAACGGACGGCTGATGGATTAACATACAGATTTATGTCAAACTCACTCAAATATGCATGGAATATTGGCGAGACGGGTAATATTCATATTAAAATGAATTGGTCATGAAAAAGTAGTTAAACCACCAGCCGAACACCGAGATATTTTAGTAATGGCTACACTATTTGAAATATAACTGAGAAGTCCATTTGGAAATTGAACGTTTTTATACGATATTACATACTAGTCCTCTGTATAAACCCCAAATCCAATTCCTCCTAGTAATTAACAAAGGCCTATTTTTATTCCATATGTTTTCCAAAGGAAATGATAGAAAATGAAAACAATACTTGTAATCGTATTGACAGCTGAAATATATAAAAATCGTAATGATAGGAGAAATTATGGACATGTGTACGGAATGATCACATTCATCTGGTTTTATTTTCCCAAGAATTTTGAACTAGTCTTTTTCTGTGCTAAATTGCTAAAATAAAGATTAAAAATTAGATTTTTGAGTTTGATCAATGGTTTATATCAAAAGAATAAAACTATTAATCATAATAAGTGGGTGTGGCAGATGAGTATGCGCACGCACAACGAAGCATTTTAAGTGCAGTGTAACACCAAATAATTGCTTCGTTAGGGTTAGATAAATCCAGTGTGGACACAATTTTTTCGCTAACATTCGTTACAAAAATGCTTCGTTAGACTCAACCCAGCAGTGTAACAGGTACCATTGAAACTAAACATGATAAATCATTCCATATCACGTGTAAAAGTCGCAATCTAATCCAACTATATATAGAAGCGATTAAACCATGGTAACATGAATTCTTCGTTCACCATCGTACACGAACAGGTACAACAGTAAATTTTGGATCGCGGTGTGATTTAAAAATCTAAACTAATTCTAAAATTGTGATTTACCCTCTCCCCTCTGATCATACCCAAAAGAGTTATCTCACAACTCTGGACACCAGGACACAATTCTTACTAGAGTCCGTGTTTATTGAACCAGCGCCATTTAAAAACTGTCTCTGGTTGAACATCATCCAACAACTGAGCTGTGACTAATTTTTTATAAAGGGCATATCTTTACAGACATCTATTCGAATTGACTTATTGAAGAACGATTAACGTTCTTAAAACAAACAAGCTCCCTTCCATAAAATACAACTTACTTGTCTTTTTCTTGTATATGAATTCATATGTGCAACGGGATAAACAGTTTTGGCAAAGCTTAAGATTCCCATTAGAGTATAAACTGATCTTATCCTCAACAATTTAGCTGCGGAATATATAAACTGCTTGACAATTTGTTTGTTTTCCATTGTGATACTGCAGGAAATATCCACGGCAAATACAAGGTCTATCCCACACACTTTAACATCCAGTGGCACTGGAATATTGGAGAACATAAAAATTCATGAAGTAAATATTGAAATAACAAAACAATTCATCAGAGAGAACAGTTGGATGCGTTCACATAGTGTAGTTCACAATTCATATAGAAATAGATGGCCATTGGCAGACGCAAGGCCACTATGCATGTTGTTTTCAGAATTTAGCAATGTTTCCAGATTAAGGAATACATTCCCTAAAGCCTGATTTTCTCTCTAGCATAGTATTACATATTTAAATAAATTACATAGTTTCCTGGCATTTTCATACAATTTTGAATGTTACACAGAGGTGCTTTTTGAAAAGTACTACTACTAAAGGGGTAACAAAGACTATCTCCCAACTTTATGATAATATTTCCTTCCGACATTTTACAATTTCTAGTCATAGCTGCCACTAAAAATAATTATTACCACCTTGCAGGGCCTGTTCTAGGGGTTTTAGTACTAGTTTAGAAGGCATTTAAATTGCTATATTGACGTGAGCAATATTGTGTCGGGCGTTAATTACCCTTTGCATTCGTTTGACTTCACTTCTTAAAAGAGAGCTTCGTCTGTAGTTTAACTAGACTCTGCACGCAGGGTAGGCGTTAATGACTTTAGTCGGGCAATAATGACATTATCCGCCCGGCTATGTTTCCTGGGAAAAGTGATATCGTTCAGTGCGTAAGATTTTCTATTTCAAATTTGCTGTTTCAGCCCTAGGCATTAACGGTGGTAATAATAGTAATAACATCATTTCTGCGGGCAAAATAGTGAAATATTGGACCTTGGGCCTGCGGCCTTTGGTCCAATATTTCACTATATTGCCCTTTGAAATGACGTTATTGTACTATTAATGAAGGATTGAAGCTCTGGATTCAGTGCATTGCGTGCTGAATCAATCCATTTAAGGTGTTGTTTCCAAATCTTTGCATGGGCGCGCAGCAGGAATGCAAAGTTAAGGAAACAACGCCTGGGTGGAATGAAACAGCCACAATCCATTGAGTCTTGGGCTTAAATTCATAGGCTTAAATTCTTTTCACACATTGCAAAATCATTTCTACAAAATCACCTAAAAGATACAAAATCACTAAAAGAACATATTTTCAATAAAACTTTGCAATGGTCAAGTTGGCAAAGCATCAATTTCAATCTCCTCACCTTGACAACCATACAATTAATGCGTCATTGGTTATATAACGGAATGCAGTTACGTGAAATAGCTTGTTCTGATTGGATGGAATTGGACATACCTTGCCAAGCTATATGTGAATATCACAAAATGCATGTGTAGTTATAAAACCCAAAGTACGTATATGTTTTTGTTTTTGATCGTGAAATAAGGCGTTTCAACTTTCTTATATACAATATATGCTACAATGTATGTTACTAATACCATCTTTCTATTTTGCATCCAGATGAGATCATCCAGATGAACACTAAGAATATAGCATACTAATAGTAATAGTTAAAAAGTTACTTGGCGATAATACATACTTTCCAATACTTTGATATTGCGTATTCAGTTTCATTGCTTAAAGCTGACATTCGGGGTAACTCTTGGGGTGAATTTCCATGAAAGGGGGGGGGGCAATCAATTTAAACAAACCTCGGAACATGGGACAGGGAAGAAACAGCTAACTGCCCCCAAATTTCGGCGATTGTAAAAACTCACCATGTCAGCTAAAACAGGAATGATCGGATCAGAACAGAGAATACAAACCTATTCCCTTGTCTGCGAGAGTTCTCTTACACTTGGTATTAGGTTTTGTACATGGGTTAAAGTTTTGGCCTTTCCCTGTATAATTATATTTATATTTCATCATATCGCTCACACTTTTCCCGTCTTCACATTGCTTTCTCTCGTAATGTTGCCCTACGCACTCAAAGTAGTGACAATCATCAGGCTCAATATTTAGGTCAGGAATATGGTACATGAACCTAGCGTTTGGTTCATGTAAATTGCATTGTTCTGAAACGAAAAATACACAATTTATGTATAATTAAACAATTTAAAATATATTTCAATTTCATGTTTGGTAGAATTAAAAAGATGTTGGCAATTCATCGAAGTTGTACTTGCTGCAATAGAATTACAGTTTAACCATGCATTAAAATACGTTTTGAAATCAAATTATTAAATATTGGCTCCGTTTACTTATCTATCCCCAGGAAATATTCTTCATAAAACATGTACGTACGCCTGGTCAAGCAAAGTCATTTTTGAAAAATGTAATTTATTCTTAGAATGGGCAAACTCAAAAGATCGATGATGACCCCTGTTACACAGGCCAGTTGAAATGCTTCGTTACGAAGCAATTTGACAAAAAGCTTCGTAACGAAGCAATTTTGGGCCAGTGTAACACCTCTGCCTTCGTTGGAAAAGCTTAGTTGATAACGAAGCAATTGAGTAGAAAATTCAACGAAGGTTAGCTCCCAACGAAGCTTTTTTGGCCTGTGTAACAGGTAGCTTCGTTAGAAAATGCTTAGTTGGCGGTTTGCGCATGCGCGTAATAAAGAGCACATTCATAATTTTGTATTAAATGAGAGGAATCGCGAGGAAAGAACATGTTTTTAAGTACGTATTATTATAATGCTACGTTTTGATTAAAATAATTACCTATTTGCGTCACTGATTGACGCTAACTCAAGCCCTAAACGCCACGTATAAATGTGATTTACCGTCTTTCGTAGCATTTCATTCGATTCCCTGCCTTTCCTCGCATTGATATAACAAAAAGTATTAAATCTAAAAACGCAGGTTTTACCGTATATGTATATGGTAGTTTTGAAATGTTTATCTGATCTAAATATGTTGAATTAATTACGTTTCAAAACTTCCGTATACAAATACGGTAAAACCTGCGGACAAGGAACGGTGGCAAAAATTGTTTCTTGTCGACAGATATTTGCCACAGAGAGGCTGCATGTTTTAGGCCAGCCCCAAACACTATTGATGTGTCGTAAGACGATGCTTACAACTGATATTCAAGTTTCTTCCTATTTGCGTCATTTTCGAATTCAACGGACGGCTGATGGATTAACATACTAATTTATGTCAAACTCACTCAAATATGCATGGAGCATTGGCGAGACGGGTAATATTCATATTAAAATGAATTGGTCATGAAATAGTAGTTACACGCGGTCCTAACTTCGACCGTTAATTTGAATTTTTGACCTACCGGATGTTTGAAAATCAAGGATTAAGAGTATCATACTGCACCGTTTTTCTTCAAACTTGTTCCATTCAAAGCATAACAAAAATCCCTTTCTGATGGTACATTATTCTCTTAAACAGAGTCCCTACTTCCAGCGGCATTTTGGTCCCCAGCGGTGAGAAGGCCTTCTAACAGCTGGGGACCAAAACGCTGCTAGAACGAGGGACTCTTTACAATAAAGTAATGCACCGACAGAAAGGCAATTTTGTTTTGCTTTTAATGGTATAGGTTAAAGAAAAACGTTGCAGTATGAGACTCGCAATCCTTGATTTTCAAGCATCTGGTAGGTCGAAAATTAAAATTAACGGTCGAAGTTAGGACCGCGTGAGTTAAACCACCAGCCGAACACCGAGATATTTTAGTAATGGCTACACTGTTAGAAATATAACTGGAAATTGAACGTTTTTATACGATATTACATACTAGTCGTCTGTATAAACCCCGAATCCAATTCCTCCTACTAATTAACATAGGCCTATTTTTATTCCATATGTTTTCCAAAGGAAATGATAGAAAATGAAAACAATACGTGTAATCGTATTGACAGCTGAAATATATAAAAATCGAAATGATCGGAAAAATGTATGGACATGTGTACGGAATGATCACATTCATCTTGTTTTATTTTCCCGAGAATTTTGAACTAGTCTTTTTCTGTGCTGATTTGTTAAAATAAAGATTAAAAATTAGATTTTTGAGTTTGATCAATGGTTTATATCAAAAGAATAAAAATATTAATCATAATAAGTGGGTGGGGCAGATGAGTAATGCGCACGCGCAACGAAGCATTTTAAGTGCAGTGTAACACCAAATAATTGCTTCGTTAGGGTTGGATAAAGCCAGTGTGGACACAATTTTTTCGCTAACCTTCGTTACAAAAATGCTTCGTTAGACTCAACCCAGCAGTGTAACAGGTACCGATGATGATATATTTATCAAGACCCTTGGAGAAGGTTTCCTTGTCGTCATTTGTTACGCGCGACGCCTTGATTTTGATGGCTCACCCAGACTCCAATATGCGCCCTATGCAGACAGAGCCTGTGGGAAATATTGGGTGCGGCGCAAATGAGCGGAGGGTACGTTTATGGAGCTGCTCCGCATCCAATATTTAGAGGGGCTCATATCTGAAAAACATTTCCGAATTTTTATAAAATCACACAGATACTGCCTGGCTTCCAAGATGCAAAAATAATTTGTATAGATAGTGTACCTTGAACACCATTTTTTATGAATGCTGGGGACTCAGTATTAAAAGGATAATTTCAAAAGATATAGGTCTGGGAAAGGTTTAAGGCACACTGCGTCGCTATAGAATGAATTGCGCTACTATTTTCACAATTGTATTGATATTTGGTGTCAAATACACATATCTTGGTATATTTGAAGTCCCAAAACGGCTTAGTTTCAGAAATATCCCAAATTTAAATTCAAAAATGACCGTTAGCTCCGCACCCTCCGCTCATTTGCTCCGCACCCAATATTTCCCACAGGCTCTGTCTGCATAGGGTGATATGGCAAAAATCCTTTTATAGCTACGAAAAGACAATTCGAAGACGAACATTTTGATATAATATAATGTATATATTAAGGATAAACAGAACACGGGAATATCAATGTATGAGATACGCGGAAATCGCGAAATTATCACGTCGTACTCAATATGGTAACTTGTCGACTAACTTGTATTTTACATTTTATCACGCTGTACTTGTGTTCTACAACTATGTGTATTTTGATCAGAAGTAAGTTTAGTCTAGTTTTAGAACAGGAGCTGTACCAAATTAAGCGTGACAGTTAACGCGCAGGTTAAGGTACAACACAAGGGTGATGATATTGAGCAAACTGATGTTTTCATTGGTTCAGAAAGATCTGGCCGGTCTAGTTTCTAGATATTTTTCTATGTAAATGTCTGTAACAATATCCTAGACAGTGAACTTTACAGTGAATTTCATAGTTAAACCTACACAAACTGATTTACCTGAGATACAGTATAACGAAAATTCAAATACCTGTGTTGTACCTTACCGTTACTCCGCGTCAAACCGTATACTACTTTCTGAGTTTTTGTATGTTTAACTATGAAGTTCTCTGTCAAGTTCACTGTCTGGAATGCTTTTATAGACATTTACATAATAAAATATCTAAAAACCAGACCAGATCTTTCTGAAACAATGAAAACATCAGTTTGCTCATATTCCATCACCCTCGTGTAGTACCTTTACCCGCGCGTTCAACTGGCACGCTTAATTGGTACACGCCCTGTATTTAGTATTGTAGATTGTAGTGACTGATACGTCTCTATTACGACATCAGAGAGTCATACAGTATATATAAACTTGTTTATTGCCATTACCAATTAAATAATAAATATTTTACAGAACTGCTGGTTTAGCAATTTTGAGTCATACAAATGGTAAAAATCCTTACTGTCATATTCTTCACGTTCACCAACTCTGTGGAACTTTTGACTTACGCCACCAGGAACCAAATCAAATATGTTATGTACAAATCTATTTCCTAGAACAGTGGGAGGCAGGGCCACACACACTACAGTAATTAAACACCAAATAGACATACTCTACAATAAAAAATTAATATCTTTCTGTGGTCACTTATTAGGGGATCAGTTTTTGGAACAATTGCAAATGTAAAATCAGATTTACTCATGTTATTCTATTTCTGATTCGATACTTAATAATGCAGGGGCGGATCTGGGAACCATCAAGGGGGGGGGGGGGCGCAAATTTCAGGTCAGAGAAATTCAAAATTTGGACTGAAATTAAAAAATAAGGCCTTAAAGGCCCAGTGATTTTGGAGCCTTAAGACCTTTTAAAAGACGTTTTAAGTTACTTTTGCATATTCTAAATTTTTAAATTGCGTAAATGATAAAAATGACATTAGATGGATGGACTCTGCCAGCTTACGGTTCAGAGGCTTCATCATCAGATCATAGATGGTCGTACGCAAGCGTTTGCGATGTTTTTGCGATTTGAACATTTACGCCGGTACAACTCTAGCGTTGTTTCATATCATGGATTGAGGATTTAAGCCCTGGACTCCATGCATTGTGGAATGACCATTCCCTGACGGTGTTGCTTTCCGAAACCATCGAGTGTTAATTTTAGGAAACAACGCCTGAAAGGAATGGTCATTCCACAATGAATTGAGTCTTGGGCTAAATTATTTTCCCACGTTTTAAAATAAGCTCTACCATGTCACTTAAAAGAAAGAAAATCACTATAAGAACACGATTTCAATGAAACCTTTTGCAAGGGTCAAGTTGCAAAAGCATCAATTTTAATCGGTAGAGTCAAGTAGTCACCTTGACAGCCACATAAGGAGTGGCCCTGGATGCTGATTGGTGATATCAATCCAGAAGACTTTATATTAAGTTTGCAATTGCATTCATGAAGACACTTGGCATTAATACGAAATGTCATCAGCTGAAATGGTTAGAAAGTGTAGACTTGCTGTCGACGCTATCCGATACACCGGTCACAAATACACCCCATGCAAACAGATCACCAAAAATTACATTCGTATGATGAAAGACTCGACATTCAACAGGAAACTGGAAACAATTTGTCACCAATGGATAAATGCAAATGACAGTCACTCACATTTTAAGTTCTACAAGTATGAGAATATCATGACGTTCTAATATACAAGATAACTCGTTTGAAAAGTGATGGTGGCGATTGAAATTACGATGTAAATATAAAACCGCAGCGAAATATTTGTAGATTTCTTTGAAAGACTAAGAAATATACATCTCATATCGAATTTTTCAAAACAGAAAACTATGTATAAATAGGAAGGCCTGCAGCTCGAATTCCCCTGGTAGCATTAACATTGGTCTCGAATATAAAGACAAGTATTATTCGAACCTATGATCGGACATAACGGTCAAGCCAAGTAACTTAGTCAACATTCGATATTCGTATGTTCATCAATATTGACTAAGAATGGTGCCACAATTGAAGTAAACCTCTGTTTAATTATTTTCAATAAACCTATCAGCAAACGTGTAAATGATAAATTTGATGTTCTGTTACATATTGGTGAAGCAATCTTGGGGATATGGCCTAAATTTCTGAATTTCCACTATGTCCCTATACTCCTACTTCAAAAGATGTGTGTTATTGGTCATTTTTCATTATGAATCAACCATTATGTATTTTTTCTTGTTTACATACAGAATGAACTTTCTGTTTTCAAATATTGAAAGATGGTACTGCATCTATTTTTTTATGATATGGAGCAAACAAATGCGTATCAATTTACACTGTAATATCCCACATACTTATATTTTAAGGGTAGTTTTGAAGAATAATCAAGAAAATCCATGTTTTCAAATAAATTCATCCTTGTCAAAGAACGTAAATGAGGATGTGCGGTTTGAAAAACTAACAACATGTTTTAAGTTCTTACAGCTCTTGGTTTAAACAAATATTTCGAAAGTTGTGATTTCGAATGTAATATCCAACTCAATGAAATTTGTTGATATTTGTGAATTTTTTCTTTCGGAATGCACATTGCTGGATCAAAGAACATTGCCTCTTTCGAGATACACGAAAAGTGTATTGCTAATACTTGACATCGTTCGGATATTTGGATGTGATTGACGTTTTTGTTAATCTCCATTGAACCACTGTAACTTCCAACTTAATTTTTGAAAGCCAAATATGATAGTCACGAATTGATATTTAAGTCACATGTTGATGCATACATCATGTATGTACATTAACTGTCAAATGCATGCCGACTTACATTTATATAAATATCCACAGTTAACTCAAATCATCAATTCTCGAAACGGTTTATCAAATAACCTGGTGAGTTTAATGTTTCATTTTAATTTATAATTATGGTATCGGATTTGAGTATGATATTAGTCGAGGCTTAAACAAAGCAATAAAATTGCGTGAAACCTTTTGTGAAAATTTGAACAATTTTTCAAGAATTCTCCTTCAAAGTGTTACCACAGTGCTCCCCGGGAGTAGAAATTTCGTCTTGTGTAATCAAAATAATAGCGGGTGGTTTGAATTTTTGTTTGAGTTTATAGCCCAGCATCTATAAATTTAAAAACGTGTCGCCTCATTGAGAGGTACATGCAGATTTTGGCGATCTATCATTCTAAAAGGCTAAATTTTGTGCAAAAACAGGAGTTGACACGCTTACATTTGGAATTGAAATTTCCTACATAATTGTCGACTCATGTTTAAAAGTCATGAAAACAAGGTTGAACACAAAACAATGACCTAATTACTGTCTATTTAGCATGGGATCACTTAGGGAAATATTATTCATGACTTAAATCGTTAACAGTTAAGTTGTATCCCAAGAAACTTATCAATTTAGAAATGCAAAATGTTCAATTTTGTTTTTCAATTATAAAAATGGCACCTGTAGAGAACAACGTTTACAAAATCATTTAAAACGGAGATATTTACTTATGTAACATTCGTTGGCATGTGTCAGCGAGTAAACAAGAAGAATATCCATATGATTCTATATCTTGTTCCCAAAGGAGTTTGTTAAGGAGCGGTATATCTTAACGTACTTTTATCATCCCGAACTCAAATATTTCGAATACTTATTTCGAGAACGCTTTGTTGAGAATGGATTCGAGATGTACTCAAAATTAATACGTTAAAATGTGTATTATCGTCTTAATAACCACCTCACAAATTATTTTGGAAATCAAAGATGTACGATTTTTGAGATTTTTATTTTCGAATGTTGACTTACTTACTTGGCTTGACTGATAAGTATGATGTTACTTTATTGACTTGAAGTACACATCATACTTATGTCCGATCATAAGTTCGAATAATAGTTTTGTTTCAAATATATGACAATATACGAGACCAATGTTAATCCTACCAGGGGGAATTGGACCTGTAGGCCTTACTATTATTTATACTCGTACATCTGTACATAATTATTTCTGTTTTGGAAAACTCGATATGAGATGTATATTTCTTAGATTTCCAAAGAATTCTACAAATATTTGCTTTTTGTTGCTTTTTTATCTTTACATCCTAATTTCAATCACCACCATCATTTTTCAAAGGAGTTACCTTGAAATATCAGAACGTCATGCTATTCTCATACTTGTAGAACTTAATGTGACTGACATTCAGCATTCATTAAGTAGTAGAAAAATAATTTGCAACATTGGCGACAAAATGTTTCTAGTTTCCTGTTGAATGTAGAGTCTGGGGGTGGGTGCATGGGGTGAAAAACAGTGGCTAAAACAATAGTATGTCAAATTGTCATAAAATTAATTTAAACTCAGATTTTATCCCTTTAGCCAACCACCTTCAAAAATAGATATATTTACCCGATCATTTAATTACATTTGGATTGACACAATTGATTTGAGGCATGTTTTTGGCCATTGAGTTGCCAATATCCTTCAATATGAATCACCATTGCGTGTCGCTCAGTTAATGATACAATTCTACTGTTATTCAAAATAACCTGTGCTGCGATTGTAAAAGTGCATGGCATTGCATTGATCGATGATGAAGGTTCTGAACTGACCATGTTTAACTGGCACTGTACATGGACATTTATTCCATAACAACATGTTTTTTAAATAACCTCTATGTTTTTCGAATATTTATAGAAAAATGAATGCATTATTGTAAAAATCTTTGTTGTCAAATGCACTCTGAGACATAAGAATGTCATCTTCAGCATGCTACCTTTAATAATGTGAAATATAAACTGTTATTGTAAATAGTTAATTACAATGAAGCAATTTCAGCAAAATATACTTACAGTGTACTTGTATTCTGATATGTGCTGTGGTCAGTTTTTCAAATACCTAAGAAACTATGACAGTACAAATTGTATAAATACAGGTTTTGTAGAAGTTAAATGAAATAATATTCATTATTCAAACCTTTGTTGTATAAGAATAAATAATGACCCATAATATCCATCATAATCCTTTTTAATTACCCATGACACTCAGTGAATAGCAGTAAAAGTTCAATCCTGAACACATAATTTTCATTTCATTTACATATGCATCCATAAGCCTTACTTTTCAATGAATGTAATCCTGGTAATTTTTTCTGTTAATGACTGAAAAATAACTTTTACTTTTTATTTATATGTTAAATACCAAAAATAGATCTAGGGAAAAACAACGGGTAACAGGATTTTTATTAGATATTTTCTCCAAATATTAACAAACTAATCACAATTTGATTCAGTATTACAGTATTGTATTGAATACTCAGATTATTACCCAATGAATTATCATTTTTTCGAATTCTTTAGGATATAAAACATGTAAAAGCAGGAATTATCCTGTTTATTTGCAATACATTTTTTCTAATTATTTGCAGTAACTGAGATATAAAATATCATTTATGATTTAGATTAAGAAAACAAAAAATGAATAATGATTTTTGCTAATTGCTCATGTTTTAGTGCACAAAGAAGACCAGTATTCCTGTTTAATATAAAAACATGATTATGACTCAGTTTACATGTTTAATATAAAAACATGATTATATCTCAGTTTACAGTTTTAATATAAAACATGATTATAACTCAGTTTACATGTTTAATATAAAAACATGATTAAAACTCAGTTTACATGTTTAACATAAAAACATGATTAAAACTCAGTTTACAATCTTTACAATTGAATTTCTTCTCTCAGAATTAAATAGAAAATGTAGACTAATAAGTACAGGTACTAAATAAGATTAAATAAAATACAACTGTACAAGGGCAAGGGCTATTATTTATCACATATTTATCTACATTCAACAATCAATTTAAGGTACTTCTTGTAACGGAAGTACAAAAAGCTGGCTATATTTGTAAAGTAATCATTACAATTAATGCTTGCCTTGGGAAATGATATTTCATTCAACTGGGATCACGGGCATCTTGGATTTCCAAGGTATGATGTTTTCATACATTGTGATTGAAAATCAAACTGGGAAACGAGCATGGATCACGGGGTGGTGATCGAAAAGTTTTGTTAACGTCTAGCATATATGAGAATGTCGTTGTTAAAGGAAATTTCAAGATTTTCTCACAATTAATTTTTTAAACTGCTTATTTGCAAACAAAATAAACCAGCACATACAATTACAAATTCAATCACGAAATTCATTGTTTCCAATATTTGTTAATGAGGCAATGTCATGAATATCAAAGTCATTTATTATTTTTGATAAGAGTAACGTTTAAATCTCAGTGAGGAATTAAGGCAGAATGCACCAACAAGTAACACAATACTGCAAAGGGACACTACATAGTCTATGTACTTTTTATTTTGATTAAATAAAAATTACATTGAACAATTTCAGCCTATCAAGGGATTCCCAAATCAATCCATGATGTCATATGGACCATGGAGCTGTTGGTTCAAATCTTAAATTAAAATCAATGTATCTCAGAAAGTACATGGCTTATGGTCCTGAAATTGCATCTTTGTGTTCTGATTGGCCAGAATGTGATTCGTGTGAACAACATGTAAAGATGTATTTTGACTTCAAATGTCATTCAGGATCAAAAAAGATATAAATAAATCATAAAGACAAAATAAAAAATGATTTCTAACAAAGTAGCATATAATGTTATACTTAAAACATCATTAATTCAATTTGTGTTCCATAAAATCTTATCTAATTGCTTTTCCTACGTGGATTGCTATTAAATGAAAACTTTTTTTATTGCAAGCAATAATTTTCTTCAAAGCTTGATAGTTTTTCTTTTGAATACTGGTATTTGATTAAATGTCATTGTTTTCAATATTTGTTAATGAGGCAATGTCATGAATGTCAATGTCATTTATTATTTTTGATAAGAGTAACGTTAAAACTCTAAATTTCAGTGAGAAATTAAGGTTTTTGAGAAATGACATGGGACAATACAAAAAAGACGATACAGATATGAGATCACAATTTTTGTCAAAGTTGCTCCCTTAAAGGGGGGATTAAGCTCTTACTAGACGACGTATAGACAATATGATGCAGGTCTTTTGCAATTAAACTGACCTAAACAATTATAAAAGCAACTTTTTGACCTTTTGAACATCAATGATTGTCAACCAAAGGTCAAATTTCAAACATAAGGTCAGATTTTAACTCCTGAGAACTTTTAGATGATTTTCAAAAATTTGATCAATTTGAAGCAAGCTGTTACATTCAAAATGGCAGATTTATCAAGAAATTCAAAACGACTGCCATGTAGTTTAGCCAATCCAGAAACTAATGATATTTTGATACTAGTCTACTCTTGCATCTGTAAACATTTCAACTTGAACAGGTAAGCAGTTTTCCTGGAATTTTTATGACAAGATTTGATGTGGCACCCACCCACAGTGTCCACGCCCATTAGCCAAAGATGACGGCAATATAGCACTTTTTAAACTGCAATAAAAATGTGTGAGAACTTGAAAAGTTGTTTCTTTTCAGATTCAACTAAATAAATATGAGATCAAAATATTGCAACATATTATTGGATATTTTGTGATTCTAGGACACAATTAACACCAAACAGAACAGCGTTGCTTTGGAAAGAGTTGATCGATCTCAGCAGGTTCCTGTGTGAACCAAAGTTCATACATTCTGACATAACCTACATATAGAATATTCAAACACAATACTTGAATTATTTATAAAATCATTATCTAATTCAAATCACATTAGATTACATTAACTATTTCATCAGCTCACATCACTTGACAGGCAGAATCAACAATTGTCTTTACATATTTGGACAACTGGTTAAATGATTCCATATAGAAAATGTTATCATCTCCATCTCCAGTCGCTATAGCCCGCCATTCGTCCTGTCCAGCTAGACCTTGTAGTTTAATGTTTGGCAAAGCAATAACAAATGATATTATTCCAGCCGCTTGGTTGAGCTTAGCTTCACGAAGAGTCTCCTCTTTCATATCATTCGGCCATGTTTCTCCATCAGTGATAACAATCATGACTTTCTATAATATTACAAAATACTACCATTGGTACTTGTCCAACACAGGGAGGTACTTTCATTTAAAATACCAGCCATTTTGTTCAATTTATTTTTCAAATACATGTATATGTCTGCATAACAGGTAATTAATCATAAAACCATCATATTTCTAATATATAATCCATTAGATTTTATTTACTCCAAAATTTGAGAGTATACCAGGGTGTTCTTGACATACATTAGGTAGACCACAGTTATGTATGTTTATCATACTTACTGTTCTATCAGGCCTTAGGCCATTATCTTCATGGAAATATTCTTCCCTGGCATTTTTCAGTGCAAGCCAAGTTGAAGTACCACACTCGCTTTGTGGCACATCTAATTGCATCTCATCTACAGCTTTGAGGAGCTGGAACACATACGAGTAGTATATTATTATTATTTTATTTACTTGGTGGCACACCTCAAAAGGGTACTATACATATATAAAACATTTTACAATCAATCTTTCAATTTGATATAAACTTTGTTTAAAAATCTCTTGGTAAGAGAATCAAATTTAAAACCAATTTCATGCCCATAATTCAAAAATACAATTAATTTTGGTCACCCATAATGGATATCTTTAAAACCCCTGAAGGAATTACTTATCTTTCTTGCACATTACTTTATCTTTCTTGCACATCAAGAACGAGGAGAGGAGAATATGTATATATATTGCAAACCTTGATGACATCATTTTGGGGTTATCAAATGACTTAAAAGCAAAGGAATTTGAGATTAAAGGGACACTACAGAAAGGTACACATGATTCTAAATGGATTGACTGTGCCTATGAGATTCTCCTTAACAACATAAGTGTAACCAGGCTGGACTAAAATGGATTCATGATCATATTGCTGAATTCATGAAAGATGTACCAGACAGAGTACTAACATTACAAGCAGATATACAACATGTTGTTTAAAGGTGTAGCTTGTACTTCACTCACGTAATATGTGATGGACGCAATTGTCTGCACTTCAAGATTTTCTTTAAGACCTAAGAAGTGACTTTCACTTAGTCTAAGTAGATCTATACAATCGCAATCACAAATAAGCACCTTTTCAGGAAATCCTGGAGTGAGGTTTGTGAAGTGGAGTGAGCTTATTTTCAATGACATTGTCTATTTCTTAAGGTAGTCCATTTCATCCCCTCCAAGACAAGTAAAATACAGAAATATGAAAACTTACATTTTTTTTCCTAGGGTATGAATTTAAATGTGCTACTGGAATAACTGACTTGGCGAAGGTAAGGATGCCCACTTGTGTAAGGACGGATCTGATTGGTAGAGATCTAACGGCTCGCCATATGAACTTTTGCACTTTTTTCTTATCAGCCATTGTAATACTGCAGGATATGTCCACATTGAATACGAGTTCTATTCCACAAATTTTGACATCAATAGGTACTAAAATAAAAACAAAAATTGGAATGTGGATGTTTGGAATGAAAATAGGTAAAAGAAAAAAATTTAACAATTCAAATCAAAATAATTCAAAGCGATATATAATAACATTATTTTAATTATCAACATGCATACAATATGAATTTCTTTAGCACATAATACGTATAGATCCTCTTTTAACTATGCACACTTTTCTAATAATTAAGGTCTCTATCCTCTATTCCACGTTTTCATTTGCGTGAAGGAACACAGTTTCAATACACAATATGAAACAGTCATGAGGAAATGTATTGATGAACTTCATTAAAAGTAAACTTACATATTCCTTTATCTGCCAGACTCCGCTTACATAGTTGACTTGGTTGTGTGCAGGGATTAGAACTTGATCCTCTCCCCTTGAAGTCGTACCTTTAGTTTAAACAAAGTTGATTTTGATGATATGCATGTATTCCATATGATGAATTACTACCAAGTGTAACTTGAGATGAAAATATGTAAGTTTGACAACTATATTTATCATCGATTATAAAACTGGAAGTGTGTTCTGTGACATCCGTGTGTGAATATTTCAATTATTCAGATTTTGCCATGGATTTGATTTTAAATGCTTCTAAATGATCTTCTAATGCTTACTATGATTTCTATTAGTAATGTTTTGACTTTCCTGCTTCATAACATTATCAACATTTACTCGACTCAAAATTTCACTTCTAATCTATTGTAATAAAGAGGAGCTGAAAGTTGTCATATACAACTTTCAATCCTCAGTCTTAATATGGCTTTTCAAGGTTCAATAGCCGAGTCTGAATGGACCTCCATGCATATAGTATATAAAAATATAATCATCAGAGAAGGTTTTAAACTATGAAATCGAATTTTGAACCATTTTATCGGCTGTATTTTACAATGTGCCTTTAAAGGATATATCCTAAGTCAAGAGTAATTTCAGACCTGCCAGTATAAATTTTTGTTACCTTTCTACAATTAATATTGCCAGTAGTTACATTTAGCCCACATGTATGGCATTATTTTTGCTTCTTTATTCATTAAATTCAAATATATTCGATATATGAAATATTTATATTCGCTAAATCATTTTTCCATTCGGTAAAAACGTTTATTTGTTTGTTACAGCAAATTAAGTTTTCAAAATAGCCAATTGCTTAATACTATGTGCATTAAATTACATATTTCATTCGTTAAATGATATTTTTTGCGTAAATTGTTATGGTATTCCTTAAGAGTAACACATTATATGCACAATATTGAATTTCTATTTGAACCCTACCGAAATAAGTTTGCCTATATTTACCAAATGGTTTATTTTTCTATGACATAGTTAATGCATTTTACCGAAAGCTAATTTGCTATTTACCGAATGCAATAAAGTAATATTCGATAACTTGCGTTGTTGTTCGATATTTTGTCACGTGACTTCGAGATTTGCAAAATGGCCGCGCAGCTATTCTACATAGTACAAATATATCACGTGATTGAAAGTCTCGTAAATTATCGAAAAATAACGAAATTTATCGAATGTGGCATTCGGTATTTACCGAATATAAATAAGTTAAATACCGAATGTACAAATAATTAATTGAATTATACGTGCGTTAAGGAAAACAAATTTGCTGCATCACACAAATACATGTATAAATATAAAATGTAAATTGTCAATACAAAGAACAAGTGAAACTATTTAGCGAATATAAATTGTATAGATTATTACATTTGATAAAATAAAAAAACATTCGATAGATTGGGTAAAGGTTTGGTAAATTGTTTGTTTCATTTGGTATTTATGGAATATTAATGTACCGAATAAAGAAGCAGTTTAAACACCATACACATGGTTCTATCCCTATATTTTGATTTAACCCATGCTCTTTTATGATGTGTTTTATGATTTTGTAGTACCAAAAACAAAAGTTGGAAAGCCATCTTAGTCAGACTTAATCTTAAATCTATTTTTACAAGTTTTTAGTTTTTTTCTATATTTTGCGTAAACAGGAGGGTGTTTTTATATGGGTGGACTGACTTTTTCATTTCAGCCCTTAGCACAGGATTTTTTCTGTGTTTTCATTTACAATCAATTTATCATGCCAAGAATCATTATTTCTGTCAATTTCATGGAAATCACTCCACTATGTTTGAAATCAATTCAAAGGATTGGTATCGATATGGTGAACTTTTTGAACACACGTTCGTTTATAAATCAGTTATCAAAAAATTCTAGAAATTTTACACATTGTCAATTTAATGGTCATCTTTTGAATGGTAACAATATATTGTTTTAGAAAACACATCAATCATTATAGTTCTTGGTATCATATGTTTAGAATGAAATGAAACATCTTTCCGAACCTCATTGGAACAAAACGACATAAACACAACATGTTTATAAAAAAACAGTTATATAAAATATTTCTAAATAATTTTTGAATTAAATTGTTGTCAATCAGTCAACATTACATAAAGTACCGTGTTTTTTTACAGAATGTTTTCAATAATTGGTTTATGAGAAAAACATTGATAAATTCAGTTCATCATATCGATACCTATCCTTTAGTCATTTTTCAAATTGAGCTCCCTTATAAAAATCGAGTTTTCAAACTTATATTTTGAAATTCTTAGCAGTGAAAAATTGCATGATGGGAAGTTACTTAATGTTATGGTTCTCAAATTCAAAACAAAAAAAGAATGAAGAAAAATTGCCAAGGAGAAGTTAGTATAAAGAGTTTGTGCGCTACTAATGGAACATATGATCTTTGAAATGCTGTTTTCTGTGCGACTCGTTTTTTTGCTCCAACATTTACACAAAACAAACTTTGTATTGATGTGTGTGAGTAACACATTTTTATGAGCTTTGCTCTTTTTTCTTCTTATTAGCTTTTCAAAGTGGATCTTTCAAGGCAAAATCAGACCAAAATCGTTTCAATTTGAGCAAAATCTCTATAATTCCTTATTTTCAGAATTTCTTTTTCCATACAGTTTTAATTTTTTCTAGTACCGTTGTAATTTGTTATTTGGGATATCTATGCATTTTGCACTTTGAGTCTTTAGGTATTTAGAAGAATGGAGGGAGAGTGTTAAGTATTGGCTTTGTATAAAAAAAACTCCTACCTCGCATCCATCTACCCATGTACGTGGGACATGATACAGTCTTTGAAGGGTTCAATTTTAAAGGTTATTAAGAAGATTATTAGAATCATTATTAGATTTTTAGAAGTTATTAAACCTTAGTTTATGTTGAATTATAGATGCATTAATGTACCCATATGCCTTTATTTATGGATATATCAACTGTCTAGCCATAAAATAAAGCCGGAATTGCAATAATGTTAAAGGAATTTGGGTGAGACAAGTGACAAAATATTGCTTCTTGGACGAGATCAAATTTGACATGTTCTTTAACCTACCTATTTTGCAATTTAATTAACAATCAACGCAAGTATACATACCATATTTAAGCAGATATTGGACAAATTCAAAAACATAATTTTTGATTGATCGATTATAAAACCTGAAGTGTGTTCTGTGACGTACGTGTGTGAATATTTCAATTATTCAGATTTTGCTGTGGATTCGATTTTAAATGCTTCTAAATGATCTTCTAATGCTTACTATGATTTCTATTAGTAATGTTTTGACTTTCCTGCTTCATATAAAGAACATTATCAACATTTACTCTATAATTAAGCATAGAATGAGAATGAGTAATAATCTTTAAAAAATTAAATATTGCACCCTTCAAATGGACTGTGTCAAGAATTTCTGCAATTCCGGCTTTATTTCATGACGTGACAGATGACAAAATCATAAATAAAGGCATATGGGTGGATTAATTCATCTATAATTCATCGTAAACTGATTTAATAACTTCTTAAAAAATTGAACCCTTCAAAGACTGTACCATGTCCCATGTACTTGGGTAGGTGGGTACGAGGTATGAGGTTTTTATACAACGCCTAAAATATTGGAACCAATCATTCCAAAACGTACCTTTGTTTTGAAAAAGAATTGAGATATCTGCATATTAGATATAGAAGCTTTAGAAGATTTGAGATGCAAAATGCTCAAATGCCTTAGAAACAAAAATATTGAACATTTTTGCAATATAAAATTAAAAATTAAAGGATTATCCTGAAATAAGTCAGACCTTGTGGTGGTGATCTAATAAACCAGGGGGCATTAATAAGAAATTTGTTAAGTTAGGAATTTGTAAAGTCCATTGTTCAAGTTTCTGTAAATGACCCCCAGGTAGCTAAATTAGTTTTTTGTACCACTTACCTTCTCTTAAACATCAGACTGACTTGCTTGCCATCAGCACATTCCTTCTGTTCATATTTCTTGTCAACACATTCCATGTAATGGCAGTTGTCAGGTTCAAAATCATCATCCTCTACATCATAGATGTAGCGAAAGTCAAATGGGTTGCACTCCCCTATAAAAACAATCTCATATGTTTTAAATCTCCATATAATTTATATCAGACACTTCATGGATGAAGTGGAAATCATTGACTTTGCACTTCCCTAAGAATATAATCTCAAATGAGTATTTGAGAAATTGCCTTCTACTTTGTAGTACTTGCGCAAATTGAAAAAAATCACATATCAAGAAAAAAATGGCAACTCCACAAAGCAGCAAAACCCAATTCAAACAAATATTATTATAATAATAAAATAACTCTAATATTTTCAATTTGAGTATTCCATAGCCATACTTTGAAAAGTTCTTTAATTACTGCAAATACCAATTCTAAAGAGATTTTTTCTTGCACTATAAGAAAATTTCCAGTTTTCCTATATCAAAAATGTTTTCTGTTTCCAAGCATTGTAAAACTTAAAGGAGAACTGTATATTAGCAGCTGAGGGTGAAAATATTCTATCATTTTCTAAAATGATTTTCAACCAGTATAATATATAACTTAGCAATACATCATCTCAAAGTTTTTCATCAAACACCCTGAGACTCTTTTCAACTTACTAAAAGCAGCATCTCGGGCTTCATCTGTGATGTGGAATCTCTCATTCTTGAAAACATGGAGAAATTTGTTCCGAAAAGTCTTCTTTTTTGCTCCTTTTTTCTTTTTAGGCTCATCTTCTTCAGATAGGACATAGACAAACACACAGAGTGTCAGCACAAGAATATGCTTCAAATCCTGGAAAAGAGCACAACTCCATGCCAAATGGTATCCAAAAGATTTTAGCCTATCAATAATGCAACCAATATAATGATAATAATGATACCAGAATGGGATTAACATGCTACAGAACCTTACAGAAGATCAGTGGTAAATGTGTCCAAAGAATTAAAAAAGAATTGAATGAACTGTGACTGTTTTGGAACCATGATTTTTCTAAATACAAATGTATTACTGGAAAAAAGGAACTAAACCCTACAGTACATTTTACTCCATACAATATAAAAGTGGGGTAGCACAATAGCAGATAAAATCATGGGTCTTTAATCCTTTGGATATAACCTATAGGAACTGTTATTATATTAAGGAGACAGTGATCTACATGCATAATAGAAATTATTATAATAGAAAGCTTGCTATAGAGATAGGAATATGTTTTGGTCGGGCTAGAATATATGAAGAAAACTGAAATGTTGCTTTATTTCTCAATTCATCAAATACAAGAGAATACAAGACCCCAACATCAAGCACAAGCATATCCAAAACTTGTTCCACTAAATCCACCTTAAATGTACCATATTCATCAAAAGCATATGTGTCATCAAACAAATTACATATAAATAATTTAAATGAAGATACTGTTTATTATGCAACCAATCATTACACAATCAAACATATTTATACTGGGTATTTAGTATAAATAGAAAACTTACCATAATTTAATAATATGTCTGTATGTATCATAGAAGATCCTGACTTCCAAAGTAATGGCACTTCTAATGGAATGGTTTTAACCTTATTATTATCTGTGACGATGGTGGTCAGGGATAATTTAACTTTATGTATTTTCTATTGTTTTATCTTCTATCGTTCATCATTCCTGAATAGTTATATGCCATAACTGTACTTACTTATTGTTTTATGTTAGAGCCAATTAACTGAAATGTAAACAACTTTAAAATGCTATTATTTTTTAATTTTCTGTTTGACTCACTGCCATGTCTGCTTAATTTAATTCATATTAAGAGATTCAATTGAAAGAGTTGATGAACATATACTTATTCTAATTATCATGGTTTATTTAAGGAATAAAGGCAGAGATTCTATGATTTATGGCGCAATGTATGACCGAAAAATTTATTCTGTTCATTGTTAAAAGACCGAAATCGGGTAGCCATTGAGGACTTTCCAGAATGAAATCTGAGGTCTTTGCCATAAATCATTAAGGTCTTTGTTACGATTCTAATATGATAAACGAGCAACAAAAACAACTTTTTAAATAAATGGTCATATATGGCCCAATATAAACCAATAAATCAATTGTTCTAGTTATTGTGAATTCACCCATCATATTAAAACAAAGGCATTAACATGTCACCACCTAGTTGCTCACAATATTATGAGTTCAATTTTAAGTCAGATTTGAATTTCTGAGAACTTGAAGATGATTTTGAAAAAATAAGTTGGTCAATTTGAAGCAAGTTGAAAAAAGACCTTTTTGACCTTGAGAAGGTAATTGAAAGTCAAATTGTTTTTGACCTTGAGAATGTCATTGAACGTCAAATCTATAGTCAGATTAAGTTATTGGAAGATGGCGATCGCCAACCAACAACCGCGGACAGCCATAAAAAAATGGAGACCATAACAATATGTCACCACTTTTGGTGGTGACATAATAAACAATATGGTATGCTTAATACCATGAAAACATAGTACATTGTATGCCATAATACCATAGTATGCCATAATACCATGGCAATGAGTTGATGGTTGGCTGGTTAGATTTCAGAAAACAATGGTTTTTATAAAATATATATGCAAGTTCTCTTTTTTAAGACCACAAGTGAATGTCCCATAAACAGAACAGACAATTATATTAATGAGATAGAAATACAACAAATATCATCAATTTATTGTACCTCTGATCGCAATTGATTCTTGACCAGTCTCAGTTCTCTACCTTTTTATATTCAATCTATACCTAGTGCCATGTGTATCTGTCCTGTCTTGTAAAAAATGTTTTAAATCATCAAATGGAAAGTTTGGAGATTCTATCACAATTTTCTGTATAAAGGTGACAGTCTTTTTATATTATGTATGTAATAACCTGAACTTTTCAAAAATGGGACTTTCGTTTAGTTAGTCAATATTGTCAAGTATCTCTTTTGAAATGCGTAATCTGTTAGAGATGACTTTTTGTTGTGTTACTTCACAGAATATTCCCATAACTAAGTTGGGATAAGGAATAATATGAAAAACATGGATTAAGAGAAGTGATTAATATATAGTGAATGCAGGTTTAATATGGAGAGTATATGGTTCTCTCTAAACTTTTTCACATTTCAATGTTGACTATACTGTAAAAAAAGAGAAAGGAACTGAAAACATTTTTGGAGGATTGACAAAAATAGAAAGGGGCTTGGAAAATTTTATGAGGAACTGTAAAAATGAGAATGGGACACAGAACATTTGGTGAGGAACTGTAAAAATGAGGATGGGACACAGAACATTTGGTGAGGAACTGTAAAAAAGAGGATGGGACATAGAAGATTTGGTGAGGAACTGTAAAAATGAGGATGGGACACAGAACATTTGGTGAGGAACTGTAAAAATGAGGATGGGGCACAGAACATTTGGTGAGGAACTGTAAAAATGAGGATGGGACACAGAACATTTGGTGAGGAACTGTAAAAATGAGGATGGGACACAGAACATTTGGTGAAGAACTATAAAAATGAGTATGGGGCACAGAACATTTGGTGAGGAACTATAAAAATGAGTATGGGGCACAGAACATTTGGTGAGGAACTATAAAAATGAGTATGGGGCACAGAACATTTGGTGAGGAACTATAAAAATGAGTATTGGGCACAGAACATTTGGTGAGGAACTGTAAAAAAGAGGAAGGGCACAGAAAATTTGGTGATGAACTGTAGAGAAGAGAAAAGGAAATCTTTACCTCCTGTTCTAGAGGTAACTGTTCAGATTTCATTCAACTAAGTTAACTGATAGAGTGTTGCCTGCTAAAGTATTTTTGACCTTAAGAATCTATAGCCTAGTTTCTTAGGTGAATTAAATAGGTATGGGTTAAAAAATACAGTTCCATTTGTTTCTTCACCTTCTTACAAATACCATAGAGAAAAAATAATAGTCTTCAAAATAAATAACAGACATTGATCCTGTGTAGGGGTCCAATAAATAAACCAACTTAAAAGGCAGCTTGGCAATATAGAAAATTGTATTAATAATTATGGAAATTGTGAGACATTAGTTCCAGTTAACTGACTTTTTTAATTAATCAAAAGTCAAGATCCTATAAATATAAATACCATTGATGCTAATAATACTCAAAGAAACAATAATTTACAAGAAAAACATCTATAAATAATAAAGTAAGATTAATATGCTCAATTCTCTGTTTCTTTATGATATCTCGATAATCTGGCCATTGAACTTGATAACTGACAATATAATTAACACATAATCAAAATAATAAAAAATTGCAAGTGATATGAAAAACATTTACATATTGGACTTTCATGTTTTAAAAACTCTGAAACTCTGAAATTTATATTCCCAATCTTGGATCACTGCATTCATTTGACAAATCATCAAATCTTATCACAATTAAATTTATTCTTTTCAATTTTGAAAGATCTTAACTTTACATCTTCATCTTGAAGAAAACAGTATGTGATGTCATGCATCATTAAGAATCATCAATGACTGGTTTTATCAGCAGTGATAATTATCAAATTAATATTATTTAATTACACATGGAGAGAATCTAATGGGCTCACATGCTTTAGATGTATCTTAAGTAATGGACGCTTTTTTACACGGAACCGACATGACGTCAAACATTCTGAGGCTATTTTAGATTGTTTAACATGCAACACAGTTGAACAAAACAAACCATTATGGTAATAAATTACCCCATTTTGTTATGCCATACAGTAGTTGATTTTGAATATTTTATCATCACTATGAGTTCATGCCACATTCATTCTACAGGGCCCTCTACATAGGTTCCATGAAGTGCTACATGTACATAATTCCTCATCCTCTTATCTCAAGATTATGAGACAAGGCTGAATCCATTCTCTGACATGGTAGCAAGATATGCAGTTGCACGGGTTGTTTTATTTCATCAATGTCTATATAAATAAGTCACATGTGGGCAGATCTGGACAATATGGTGCATTGGCCAAGGGCTCAATTTTGAGGTCCAGGGATATTGCTTTTCTGAACATTTTGAGGATTGTTGGCAGGTGCATTGTACATGTGGAGTAGGGTGTTCCCTTCTCTCACCAACCCCTTCTTCCACAATGCTTTCTCAAATTGACCTGCAAACCACGACCATACAACACTGACATCGCAATACTTACTGTTTGTGTGTTACCAGTCAGCAAAATATTTCAAACAACGCAACACTTGTTGCCAAACTGGCTAAAAACTGAATATGTGACGTAAATGTGGGTCCCGGGGTACCTGTACCTCCTTCACGGAAATAAGGATGTATCAACATGTATTATATATTTTGTCTTCAAACCTTCAGAATTGATAGATAATTGAATGATGTATCACTGGTATAACTTTGAGTGGATGTACATACATGTATAAAGCATGAATAACAGGATATCTACTTCAATCAAGTTATGAGATTAGAACTTTGAACACTATACATTATTGCCCCAGGGGGGGGGGGGTACTCCCATATATTGGCTATATGGGGACGTGGCGCTCAAGTGGGTCACTTTTTAGCGGATAAATCCCTAAAAGTGGGTCTGGTTTTTGAAAAATCCTAAAACTGGGTACTGTTTTTGAAAAAAATCTCCGGAAGTGGGTCTTGTTTTTTAAAAATTACCTTGAGGTGGGTCTATTTTTGAAAGAAAATCCCTAGATGTGGGTCCATTTTTAGAGAAAAAATCTCTAGATGTGGGTAGATATTTTGAGTCTCAGCGGCACCCCCTGTACAAAAATTTGACCAGTACCCCCGGCCCCGGGATTATTGCAGGCAAGGGGCTATCTTATAAGTTTAATTTAAATCTGTAATTTATATTGTTGATTTAATGGATATTTGGTATGATCATGTCAATAAGATAATTGGAGAGTAATGGGCCAGAATATAACAAAAAAATGAATGCTTACTGAATAATTAAAGACTACAATCCTTTCAATTAATGAGGCAAAGTTAAAGATTGATTAACAATTAGTTGCACTGGAGAATAAGATTAGATCAATGCATAATTTAAAAAAATTACTAACCCACTTCTTAAAAGTTTTTATCTTAGCCAGGAGTCAGTGGTCTAGCAACAGTAACTGATAATAATTGATATTAAAGATGAACTACTGTAGAATCTTGTGCAAAATTTTTCACCACATAAATGTGCATTATGTGGTGAAAAAATGGAATTTAAGTTATCAAAAATTACATTTTTATGAAAAATGATGGCCATTTTGAAAATAAGGGGCCATCTTGAATCATCTGGTATTTAAGTTATCAAAGGTTACATTTTTTACAAAAAATGGTGGCCATATTGAATTGAGCAGCCATATCGAAAATCCTCTCTAGAACAGAGGTCCTTCACTCATATGGGGTGAGCCTATAGAATTTGAATCAAATCTGTCAACCAGTGTTTGAGTTACCGTCTGGACACACAAACAAATGGGCAAACAAACGATAACACATGGTTCCAAAGGCACTAGGGATGTCTCTCTTACAAGGACAATGCTTTATGAGGTTTTGTGGATTATCAATGTATTGTTTATAACTCAACAACTCTTATGATTTACATTCAAACTATTTTTGTTCATCATATTTTATTGGTATTGAAACAATGCATTTCCATAAGTAATCTTATTCCACATACTACTATCTCATATTAGAGATAATGAAGACTTTTTGCATTGAAGAATAATTTCAAGTACAATTTTGATTATAATCATCTTTAATAAAATTACCCATCTAAACTTCTTTGAGAACACCATTCTAAATTCAGTTTGAAATTGAGTTGAGAAATGTGTAATGGATTGGAACATAATTAAGATGTTCATGTTCAAAATAATATAACTTCTAGGAATATCATTTCAGCCTCATATTTAGATTATGGCACATTCATAGCTCATATAAAATTACAACTACTTGATGTATCATTCTTCATGATTCCTTTGGTTTCTTTGCAATTACAGTCTTTGTATTAATAAGTTTAAATGTCTTTTCTTTCTGAAACACATATCCTAATCCTGACCACACAGTTGTCACAGCAGTCACTCCCCTAGAACACAAAAACAGAAAAAACATCTGAGAAAAAGTTAATGATGGCCCAGTTCTTTTACATCTATTGTTACATCCCTTCCATTATAAGAGCAATATCTACCCCAAATCTTCTGTTGAATGAGAGAAAAAAGGATTGAATCTTGGAAAAATTTACGTTACATATTATCCCACTCAAAATTACATTGACAATTTAAGGGCAATAAAAGTTAATACTTCAAAAAATTAAAAGATGAAGATTATTTTGATCAAAAACAAAAATATTTGAAAAATTCAATTTTTGGAAAAAATGAAAAATTTTGGATAATTGAAAAAAAATGAAAAATTTTCAAATTCATACTTCCTTGTTTTCCCAAATTTCCCCATAGGTTTAACATGAGGATTTTCACACCTATTTTTCAATAGATATATTCATTCATAGTACAGAAAAAATTATCAGAAACGATTGAGCCCCTATTAATCTTAATATAACAGATATTTTTTTCATTGTATTGATTCATAGCGTGGTGAAAATATTCCGGAAGAAAAGGTCAGGTGATCAGTTGACTAGTCGTCATATTGGATCCACATAATTTCATTCGACTTTCATTCCAATCTTACCACACTACAAACTGAAACATCGATGCAAAAACAGAATAAAAGTACTCATCAGCAGTTGACCAAAGAAGACACGTCGCTATAATCTAGGTCAATCGGTTCAGTGTCCGAAAGCAAATCTATAGTACTCGTTTCCGAATTTTATTGTTCATTGTTCAAGGTTTTCTTATACTCGTTATACTGACCAAGTATTCTGATGGGGTCATTGTTTTACTTAGCGTGCGCGTGTAAAAACAAAATTGCGTAATTAGTTTGATTTAGAACTTTTGGGTCAATAGCTACGCGAAATGTATTGTTGGAAAATATTAACCAATCAAATTTTGTCCTTTTTGAGGGCTTTTCAAGTACATATTTTTGTACCTTCTTGATTAAAGAGCGAACCACGAAAGGGAAAATTTATCAGTGACTTTCAAAACATACTGAATCACAAACCCCACCATTGTGTAGAGGGCCTAGGCTAACAATCTGATAGCAGCTAGTCAAAATGGCAAAATGAACCACTTGCCAGGTTATTTCCTAAATGCAATGAAAACTGAATCAAAAGTCAACCTGACAATGACCATTAGACCAACCCCTAAATACAACTCAAATCCTGAATACATAAATTAAAGGTTGTCCATATTCTTTAGTTCATTGTAGTAGTTTAGAACTTACCACAAGGCTTGCATAGCAGGATGGGCAACAAAGTCAAATATGGGAGCAATCAGACTGAGAGCAACCAGGTTCAGCTGTATCAGTGTGTTGATCTGAAATAAACAACTTGTGAAATTATTGTGTTGTAAGTCTAAAAATCCCCCAAAATTTCATGTGCAGTAAAAATAACAGTTGAATACCAAAATAAAATAAAACTTATAGTGAAAAAAGTGAAAACATTGTTTATTTTCCATCACTGCGACAGCTTAAATACAATATGTCCAAGAGGATAGGCTGGTGACAATTACTTTGTAGAATTTCGGACCAAATTACCACCTACTTCAGCACATATGTATACTGGTATATCTAGGCAATAAAAAGGTGATTTCCCTAAAATGAAGCAAAAGTAAGAGCCTGGACCAATGTTGTTACCAGTATGGATCTGGTTACCCTAAGAATGATATTACATTAGTTTGATGAAGGGTACATTACAGATATATTCCTGCATGAACAAATGGTCATGTCGTAATCATAAAATTTGAAATCATATGTCCGCCATTTTTCCACATCACAATTTGAATTGCGAGCTTTAGTCTTATTACCTCACCAAAAATTCCAAAACACACATAAAGTGATCAGTGTATTAGTTCTTCTGGAACGCTAACTTAGAATTTACAGCCAGTTACTAATGTCAGACGTTAACGACATTTCATCCAGTTTTCGAACATCGCCATTTTTCTTGGAGGCATTTTGTTTTAATTTTAGACGAAATCCTGATGAAATCATGTCATATCTCATCAAGGAGCCGAGCTGTGTCCGGTTTGATTAATGATTTATTTATCTGGCGATTTTTAAAATATTCAATAAATTTATGACACCACGGCCACCTTTTTTCAAATAGAGTTCACAGTATTCCAGATGCAATCCCCTCTAGCCAAGTATTGGCTAGAGACTCGAGTAAGCCTAGGTTTATGAGGTACACTTTTTGTTGAGATGTGTAATCCACTAAAATATGTGCATATGAGGATATGTACAATAAAACATGAACATGAAAGAGCAACAATGAAATATTTTGGAATATTGCTTCTTGAAAATTGTGGCTGGCAAAGACCCCTTCAAGAAAGAAAGAATGATATCATTCACTGGACTCAAATTGTGATTCTTACTAAATGTCAAATTTCAAACAAAACATGAAAAAATATGATGGAGATAATACAATAAGATCAATTGCAACATATTTTACATGTACTATCTGATTTGGGAACAATTCAAATGATACAGACTTATATATTGTCAAAAGTATGATACTTTGACAACACAAAAGCTGATTTCTCCAAGGAGGCAAAAGAAATTAAAAGAGACCATTGGGGTAAATTACCAGTATTGACCCCAACAATTGAAAAGATTTAGATTTATTAACCTTATAACACGTACATACCCATAAATATTTAAGTATGTACAAAGCAAAATTGAAAACAGTATAATGACACACACAATATTTCATCAAACTATATGAGCATTAGTTCAGACAACGTCAAAAAATTGCTGACAGATGGTCATACAGAATGACAGACAGACAGAATGGGTGATTGTCAAGGCTCATCAGAGGAGTGGGTGATTGTCAAGGCTCATCAGAGGAGTGGGTGATTGTCAAGGCTCATCAGAGGAGTGGGTGATTGTCAAGGCACATCAGAGGAGTGGGTGATTGTCAAGGCTCATCAGAGGAGGGATTTTTCTCAAGGCTCATCAGAGGAATGGGTGATTGTCAAGGCTCATCAGAGAAGAAGGTGATTGTCAAGGCTCATCAGAGGAGGGATTTTTCTCAAGGCTCATCAGAGGAATGGGTGATTGTCAAGGCTCATCAGAGGAGTGGATGATTGTCAAGGCTCATCAGAGGAGTGGGTGATTGTCAAGGCTCATTAAACGAGTAGGTGATTGTCAAGGCTCATCAGAGGAGTGATTGTTCTCAAGGCTCATCAGAGGAGTGGGTGATTGTCAAGACTCATCAGAGGAGTGGATGATTGTCAAGGCTCACCAGAGGAGTAGGTGATTGTCAAGGCTCATCAGAGGAGTGGGTGATTGTCAAGGCTCATCAGAGGAGTGGGTGATTGTCAAGGCTCATCAGAGGAGTGGATGATGGTCAAGGCTCATCAGAGGAGTGGATGATTGTCAAGGCTCATCAGAGGAGTAGATGTGTCAAGGCTCATCAGAAGAGTGGGTGATTGTCAAGGTTCATCAGAGGAGTGGATGATTGTCATGGCTCATCAGAGGAGTAGATGTGTCAAGGCTTATCAGAGGAGTGGGTGATTTTCAAGGCTCATCAGAGGATTTGGTGATTGTCAAGGCTTATCAGAGGAGTGGGTGATTGTCAAGGCACATCAGAGGAGTGGGTGATTGTCAAGGCTCATCAGAGGAGTGGATGATGGTCAAGGCTCATCAGAGGAGTGGATGTTTGTCAAGGCTCATCAGAGGAGTAGATGTGTCAAGGCTCATCAGAAGAGTGGGTGATTGTCAAGGTTTATCAGAGGAGTGGATGATTGTCATGGCTCATCAGAGGAGTAGATGTGTCAAGGCTCATCAGAGGAGTGGGTGATTTTCAAGGCTCATCAGAGGAGTGGGTGATTGTCAAGGCTTATCAGAGGAGTGGGTGATTGTCAAGGCACATCAGAGGAGTGGGTGATTGTCAAGGCTCATCAGAGGAGGGATTTTTCTCAAGGCTCATCAGAGGAATGGGTGATTGTCAAGGCTCATCAGAGGAGTGGGTGATTGTCAAGGCTCATCAGAGGAGGGATTTTTCTCAAGGCTCATCAGAGGAGTGGGTGATTTTCAAGGCTCATCAGAGGAGTGGGTGATTGTCAAGGCTCATTAAACGAGTAGGTGATTGTCAAGGCTCATCAGAGGAGTGATTGTTCTCAAGGCTCATCAGAGGAGTGGGTGATTGTCAAGACTCATCAGAGGAGTGGATGATTGTCAAGGCTCACCAGAGGAGTGGGTGATTGTCAAGGCTCATCAGAGGAGTGGGTGATTGTCAAGGCTCATCAGAGGAGTGGGTGATTGTCAGATTCAGAGAATTGGATGATTGTCAAGAATCATCAGAGGAGTGGATGATTGATAAGGCTCATCAGAGGAGTGGATGATTGTCATGGCTCATCAGAGGAGTAGACGTGTCAAGGCTCATCAGAGGAGTGGGTGATTGTCAAGGCTCATCAGAGGAGTGGGTGATTGTCAAGGCTAATCAGAGGAGTGGATGATTGTCAAGGCTCATCAGAGGAGTGGGTGATTGTCAAGGTTCATCAGAGGAGTGGGTGATTGTCAAGGCTCATCAGAGGAGTGGATGATTGTCAAGGCTCATCAGAAGAGTGGATGATTGTCAAGGCTCATCAGAGGAGTGGGTGTTTGTCAAGGCTCATCAGAGGAGTGGATGATTGTCAAGGCTCATCAGAGGAGTGATTGTTCTCAAGGCTCATCAGAGGAGTGGATGATTGTCAAGGCTCATCAGAGGAGTGGATGATTGTCAAGGCTCATCAGAGGAGTGGATGAATGTCAAGGCTCATCAGAGGAGTGGATGATTGTCAAGGCTCATCAGAAGAGTGGGTGATTGTCAAGACTCATCAGAGGAGTGGGTGATTGTCAAGGCTCATCAAAGGAGTAGGTGATTGTCAAGGCTCATCAGAGGAGTGATTGTTCTCAAGGCTCATCAGGGGACAAGTGGGTGATTCCATAGATTCACCACGTGTAAGTTGGTAAAAAAAATAACAACAAGTATCTCTCAAAATGGCTAAAAACCAAAAAGGAGGTAGTATTATATACATGTACATGATGAACTTACCTTACTAATTAACAAAGGTGTAAATTCAGTGGTTGGATGACTCACATCCCAAAACCTCTTGAAGGTTTTCTGAAAACAAAACAAAAAAAACTAGACAACAGAAATGCCAAAGCATAGCAAATCCCATTGAACAGCCATGGCTGGCATTTTTACAAACAAAGTATATAGCAAAAAATGGCAGTAGCCATTTTTCAAAATGGCCATCTTCTACCAAAAGTGTCATCAGACAGTGTGCCATGCTTATTGTATTCACATACCAAATATGAACAAAATCGCACCACTACTTTTCGAGTTATAGTAAAATATGTTAAAATGGTGGCCATTTTTCAAAATGGCTGCCTTCTACCAAAAATGGCATTAGACAGTGTGCCATGCTTATAGCATTCACATACCAAATAAAATCAAGGCTCATCGAAGGATTTTTAAATCTACTCTTATAGGGTATATGTGTACAAAATATGATCAAAATCGGGCCAACGGTATTTGAGTTATCGCCCGGACAGACGGATTGACGGACGTACGGACAGACAGACGGAAGGAGGCATTCCCTATATCCCTCCGACCTTCGTTCAATGGGATAAAAATATTCAAACAGTGATGCATAATTTGCTGATTTCTAGTTTATTTATTGATATAATATACAATTTAGAATACATGTACACAGGGGTTTCATTAGCAGCAGGCAACAGGCAATTTTCACCGGTTGTTTTTCAAAATTGCCTGTTGTTTTCTATTTAGGGACTTTTCAACTTTTCCATGTTAAATTTATGATTTCCATTAATTTTGCCTGTTGTTTTAATCTATTTAGCCTGTTGTGAGAAAGTCAAGTGAAACCCCTGTGTACATTACTGTTGATGTACTCAAATCACATCACATTTCATATCATGTCTATCTAACCAAGTATAGGCCAATTCAAAGTTAAATATGTGTTTTATGTTATAAAAGGAACAATATGAAATGAACATTGAATTGCTTTATAATATTGTGATATATTTAGAGGTTATGTCACTATGACATGAAATATGCCTCCCAATATAGGCCGACCTTGGGAGGCTCTATATTTGGGCAAGAACGAAGGCATATTTCACGTCATAGTGACATAACTGATGTATTACATGCCTTTGTTCCCATGGTTACTTTGTATCAATGACGTGACGTCATGATATTATCATGGTTATTAAAGAAATCTAATATCAAAACGAGGTAAGCGGGCTATATCGGGGTAATCGGGCAATATCGGTGGATATAGCTCGCTAACTTTCCCATTGACTTCCATACAAATGCTTCGCTAGGTATGTAATACATGAATATATGATGTAGATGACAGTGGACCTTTATCGGGTTAAATAGTATGAGTAGTACAATTCAATTAACACTTGATTAAACGATAATTTCTCTTCAGTGTAAAACCACTGTCATAGAGCTGGGTGAACTTGTTGACATTGTGAAATGAAAATCAAATATCCTTGTTAACTGATTACAAGAAGGTAATGTTCTGTGAGCATGTAAATCAATTGAGGAATTGATGTTTCAGTATGTAATGTGTTACTCACTGGTGGGGGTAGGGAGATGTATCTCACCCAATGGGCTGCAATAATCAAGCCAATGTCTCTGCATACTATCAAGGCTGTCAGTGGATCTGAAAAAGGAGTTTCAAGACATATCCATAAATGTACAGCTACACCCAGAACAGAGACGTAACAACACAAAAAATAGCAATTATGATTTATAAAGCAAAATTTTAACATTGAAATGTTTGATACACAAAATGTAGACATTGGGTATATCGAGGTTATGTGACCAATAAATAAACATGTTGTAAAGATATAATGTTGAAGGTGTGTTTATTGGTATGGAGTAGAATACCTTCCACTTTTATTGGAATATACGACATATTCATTACTAATGAGGAGACAGTCTTCAGTCAGATTTGAGAGAGCTGAAAGTTAATTGTCAATCAAGAAGGTGTTCTAAAATCCTTCAGAATATATATCTTGTTTATTTATTGTCTACTAGCCAACATGGATGTTTGAGTTATAGTTATGATTATCAAGTTTATCCTGAGAAATATATAATGTCAACTCAAGTTTATAATTTAAGCCCAAAGAATATAATTTATCTATGATAGATATGTCATCTCTCCCAAAGGTGTAAGAAATATTATCAATACTTAAGTAAATATTGATTTTGTACATAGTCCCTTCTTGTAATATCAGTGCTTCTTATACATTTAAGAGTAATAAAAAAGTTAAATATGTAACTTACAAGGTATTAAGTCAACCACTGTGAGAGAGATGACTAGAAAGGTCATCATTATCTTATCTGCTAGTGGATCCAATACACTTCCAAAGTTTGAATGTTGACTAGGAAACCTTCGAGCTATCTGTCCATCCAGCTGAAATATTTTAGTATTTTAAGCAGATTGAAGACCCATTATCCATTTCATCTATTTTATATTCAAAATCAGTTTTTATCAACAAATTGATTTAATATTTAAATATTTCAAATTGAGCTGCGATGTAAAAGATAAAAAATATCATTTTGACAACATAAAGACCTAAAATGCTTTTTAAATTATGTTAATAGACCTGCTTTAGCAAGGCCGAGTTTCATATTATTTTTTGAAAGAAGATACCATATTTAACTTTAAGATTGTCTTGGAGCAAATCTAAATTGAGATTATTGTTGTTCAATATTTACCATATCAGTGACACCTGCAGCGATGAAGAGGCCAGTTGCTAAGGGATACTGTTGATCTATGATTAGGTAGGCTAGAACGGGTGCTGCGACAACTCTAGACACAGTCAGCAGGTTGGGTATTGTCCAGATATTCTCATGCTTAAAAACAAACATTCTTGATGCACAATTTTATGAATTTAGTCAGTGAATTTAGTCAGTGAGGGGAATTTATAAAACATAACAAATACTAATTTACTGAAGTACTTCAAGTTAATCTTGAAAATATCATGTCAGCAAAAGTGATATAATATTTGAAATCTTCATGTAAAATTACATCTAAAAATGTGGTTTCAAAAATTGTTTGTCAACTTTGAAAATTAAATTTTCTTTGAAATTTGACTTCTTGGTAGGGGAGATTCCCAATAAGGATGCAAGAACAATTCAACAAAACCACAATTATCTGTAGATAAATAAACGAGGCATGTGCACCTAATATGACGGGAAGATCCTCCATGATTTTTCTTGTTTTAAAAAAGGGAGGATCTTTGAAATCACCTTAAAATTGATCTTTGACTAAAATACTGTATCTTATCGAACACATATAATTAAAATCTGAACACAAATAATTCACTTCTGGAGTTGCATAATTTGGGCATACAAATAAGGCCTGCATTAATAATTAGATGGATTCGACAACCAAAGAAGGTGCTTTTTAAAACAGACAGATACTTAAACTACAGGAGGTTTTTTGCTGGTGACTGGCAATTTTGATGGAAAATTAAGCTAAATTGCATGTTTTCACATTAGCATAAAATAGACTATATCAACAACCTATGCGCTAGGTTACATGAATATGGGATTTGTGAAGCCAATGACAAAATATTCCAATTGCACCCTACCAGGCTCCCCTAGTGACCACTAGAATATTTGGTTAGATGACTGGTACAGATTATGTGACAATTACTGGACAGCACCCCGAGATATCTCGGGGTCGGTCACATACTGTATGGAGGGGTTGAATTATGATATGGCATATATATGGTATAAGGTATGGCTTTCCACCAAAAACACCCAAAAAGGGAGATATGTCCTTCTAATAGACCCTCTCTATTTCCTTCTTTCTATACCCCTTTGCATATCATTATCAGAAAGCCCTTGCATTTTTACTTTCACAAGGGACAAAAACAGCTCCTTGTACAACATTGTTAACAAATTATTCTTCATTTAATTTCATCTTTCAATCAAAATATTCCCCTACCTCTCCCTGCTCTCTCTTTCCTGACCCACTTTTCAGTATCATTCATCAGGTTTTACCATGTTAAACATAAACTACCCTATTTCAATGGTACATTTTCTCTTAATATGATATATACTTGACTTACAGCACTATTATAATTATTTTGCTCTTTGATCAATAGATGTTACACAGTTGATATGTCTTCAGAAGAGCTTAGACTAAGATTGGATTACATCTTTATCAGATGAGAACAAGAACTTCCTGGTATTACTTTGATACCAACCATCTCTTAATTTCAAAGTTCCCTGATCATGATGTCTAAAATTTGATATCACAAACCTGGATCTGAAGTCTATATATTTCTCAGTATATTATTTATACCGGTAATTTTGGACTTCAAAATCAGTATATTTTTAAGCAGATTTTAGTACTTAAAAATTCCTTAAAAAGTCAGTATATTCTTCAGTTCATAAATATTCTGAATTTTATATTAAAAAGTAAGTATATTTTCAGTACATTTATCACTGATCTCCACAGGATTTTTTCTCAAGTGGGTGCACAATTCTCATATTTACACTTCAGACCAAAATTGGTCAAGTTATGCCCATTTTCATGATAACTTTCAAGTGGGTGCTAATGGATTTCCAGGTGGGTGCTAGCCTATTTACAAAATCTCAGGTATTGCTGCGCCTACTTGCTTTAATGCTGGGGAGATCACTGTTTATAATATACTGAATTTTATACTTAATGAAAGGACCCACAGTCCTGTGCTCACACAGTTTGGAACCTTCAGAGGTTCTGACTTTCAAACCAAAATATTGATTTGGATTTGTAGTCTCGAACTTTGAGAAACTTAGATAGCGCAGTTGTGTGACCTAGTTTGATGACCTTTGACCTTGAAAATTTTACTTAGTCAGAGCTCAGTAAGGTCTTTTGTGATTAAGCTGACCAAAATTTACATCCAAAAATCAATTTGAAAATCAACTTTTTTTACCTTTCGAATGTCACTGAAGGTCAAGTAAAGGTGAAATCCTAAAACTAATGTCAGATTTGAACTCCTTGCAACTTGTAGATGATTTTCAAAAAAAAATTGGTCAAATTGAAGCAAGTTGAAAAATAACTTATTTTTACTGTTTTTTGACGTCATATATCTCAAAAATGGTAAAAATTTGAAGCTGAAATATATTGAGCAATATGTAGGGAATGCTTAAATCTAGTAGTAATGTAATTCATTGCAAGAAATGATCAAGTATAAGGCAAACTTTGAGAAACTTGTCAATCACAAAACCTGCCATTGACTTTTTACAAGAGAGAGTTTCCTGAAAATGAGCTTTTTGTCAAATTTTATAGAGTAAACACCAAAAACTGTAATTCCAAGAGCTTTGAAATCTTCAGAGGACATAAGTTGCATATAAAGCAACTACTACAAGTTATTTGAAAGTACTTCTTCAACAAAGTGTCTAGTATTTACAGAAAATTTGACTTTTTGACGTCAAAATCAGCAATTTCTTGGAAACCGGGCAAACTTGGGAAATGGCGATGATAGATCAAATAGGCATTATGGATATGCATAAAATGAATGTGGTTATGACTCAATCCGAATAGCAGTTTTAATTTGTGCGGCCAATGTTGACGGACGGACGGACGGACCAACGGATGGACCAACGGATGCCTGGTCGATCCCATAGGCTCACTGTGTGAGCCAATAAAGGACCCACAGTCCTGTGCTAACACTACCACAGTGTAGAACCTTCAGAAGATTTTCAATCAAAGTTATTGATTTTGATTTGTAGTCTCGAACTTTGAGAAACTTAGATAATAGCACAGTTTGTGACCTAGTTTGAGGACCTTTGACCTTGAACATTTTACTTATTCAGAGCTCAGTAGGTCTTTTGTGATTAAGGTGACCAAAATTTACATCCAAATGATCAATTTGAAAAATCAACTTTTTTGACCTTTCAAAGGTCACTGAAGGTCAAATCTCAAAACTAAGGTCAGATTTGAAATCCTGGCAACTTTTGTAGACGATTTTCCCAAAAATATTTGGTCAAATTAAAGCAAGTTGAAAAATAACAATTAATTTGACGTCAAAATCAGCAATTTCTCGGAAACTGGGTGAACTTGAGAAATGGCGATGATAGGTCAAACAGGCATTATGGATATGCATAAAATGAATGTGCATATGACTCAATACGAATAGCAGTTTTAATTTGTGCAGCCAATGATGATTGACTTCATACATGAGAAAGTTCCCTGAAAATGAGTCCTACTTTTTGTCAAAGGACAGGTGGCGGTAAACCCCTCTTTTAGCCCCCCTACAAAACAAGTATATATTGACATGGAATTGAAGAGGAAATATGACTTATTACTTAATATGTGATTTCTGAGAATTTAGACATTTGACCTTGACATTAGGGTGGTTTAAAGGTCAATTTTGAAAGATGCTATTTTTGTCAAAATTTTGCCGTTTTCTAATAAAAGAAATGAAAGCAATTGGCTTAATTTTGATTTTGACTGATAATAAGACATGTGAATGGAAATAAAAATATTTTTAATAAATTCTCACAAGCAATTATATGAAAATCTTGAGAATAAATCCCCTTATGGGCATTTTTGGGGGACTAAATTTTCTTGTTTCAAAAATGAATGTTATTGTTGCCTTTTGAGATTCGAGCAGTATCCTAATAGAAGCATGTTTTAAGAATTGGGATGTGATTATTATTTTAAATGCCCATGACATGGACATTTATAATGTATTACATTGGAATTTGAAATTAAATGTCTGTATGGAGACTTAGTTTTAAAGTTATTTGCCAATTTGCAGTTCCCATATTTGAATTTCAATATATCATAAAATATAAGGCAGCATCATTTATAAATGGCATGACACTCAAAAGATTGCCTAAAATAATTTCTACTTATTCCCTATTTAGAAAAACACTTAGGCCATTCAACAATTTTTTATAATTAATGTCACTAATTTCTATGTTTTCAGAAAGAAAAAAAATGTTCCCATGTACTATGTACTTGTAATGCATATAAATGACAGAGGGAATTGTGATCATGAATTATATTGTATTGAAATGAGTTCCAAGATTGACTAAAAACTACATGTTTATAAGCTTTAGTATTGTCTTCATTCACAAGGTCATCTGAATCAAGAGGTGTTACTTGCTTTTCCACTAAGTGTTGTTTTTTTTTGTTTTTTTATTAAAATATTTATTCACAAAAATAAAACAAACATATTTACAAAACATATCAAGTATTTAGTTTTGAAATAATATTATCAATTGCATGGTTAAAAATACCTGTTGACATATGATCCAATAATCTTTTATAAAATATGATACTTGATTTAACTTTTAACTGTAAATTACAATTTAAAAGTGATTGTTCATCTTCAGAGTTTTTTGACCATTCCGAATGGATTGTTTTTGCAGTAATTGCTATGATTAAATTTTTTATTACAGATACATTATTATTTTCACTAAATCCTAAAACAATATGTTTCCATTTTATGTTCAAATTTAAACTGGTTCCTATAGTATTCCATATGTCGACAGATTTCTTGCACTCATACAGCATATGTTCCATGGTGTGATTTTTATTACAGTGTACACATTTTGAAATAACTTGTCTGTTCCATTTATTAACAATATAACCACAAGGAAGACAATTATTTACAATTTTAAAATTCAGTTCTGCTAAATATTTACATGGCATTTTCAAAATCTTCTGATTATATACATCTTTATAAAATTCACAATCACTAGGTGTTTTAAATTGCCTACTCCAAAAAGCTTCAGTATAATTTCGTTTTCTTATTTTGTTAATTAAAATATTATAAAACAACTTTGACTTTTTGTTAATTATATAATGGTACTTATTGTTAGCAAGGAAGTTATATTTATATTGTATATTT